CAGAGCTTGCGATGGAGCATAATCTGTGCTTTGTGGGTGCGCTCTGTTCTCTGTGGGAGTAAGTTTGGATTTAAAATAAAGTAAGAAGGATTGCAGTGAAATGACCCAAGAAACCTGGTTTTCATGTAAGGCACGCCTTAGTCCTATAGCATTGGAGTCTTATTTCGTTTTTATGGATGGATGGCCACATCTTCGCCGAGTGGCTCTAAGACAGGGCAGACGGTCCTTTACAAAGGGCTGGCTTGCGTGGTCAAGAGGAGGAGCGACCGTGTGAGGTGCTCACTGTAAGGAAGTAAGTCGCCCTGAGAAAGGACCGGCCGCCCCGGTGCCGCCAAGCCCCACGCGGCCGGGCCTTCAGTCTCCATCCTCAGGGCCATCCTCAGCCTCAGGGGGTAGAGCCTCGGCCCGCGGACGGAGGGCTCGGCTCCGGTCAGGGCACGTGCCTGGGCTGCGGCTCCATCCCCAGTGCGGGAGGTGGCTGATCAGTGATTCTCTCCGCATTGATGCCTCTCTCTCTCTCTCTCTCCCTCTCCCTTCCTCTCGGAAATCAATTTTAAAACAATGCTGTTTACCTCTGCTTTTCTTTCCGTGTCTCTGGGCACACGTCTCTGTTCGGGAAGGACTGAGTGTTAACCGGCTGTCTCTGTGTGGGATTGGAGCTGCTTTGCTTTGCTTCTGCTTCTCATTTGCTTTTCTGCGTGAGCACGTGGGTCTGCCTTTTGTGCAGTAAAATGTGAAGGACGATGAACAGGTAGAGCTGTGTGCCGGTGAGCATCCTGTGTGTGGACTCTGAAGCACAGTATCGGCATCTCCCATGGGCTTTGATGGTTTGGGCTGTGGTCACACACCCTCTGTCCCTGCGTTTCTGGAGAATTGGTTTGTGTGTGAGCACCCGACCGACCTCCACGCGGGTGGAGAGGGAGGGAGGGCTCCTCTTCACTTGCCCACTTCACACAGTGGAGAAAATCACTTGCCTGCCGGTGAGAGCTGCCCGTGAGGGTTCAGTTCATGCTCAGTTTACTAACTGACTCATTGGCGGTTATGAGCCGCCGCCTGAAGGTGCATGGAGCGGCTTTTTAAAATGTTCTCCTGGGCCCTGACCGGTGTGGCTCAGCGGATGGAGCGTCGCCCTGCGGGCTGAAGGGTCCCAGGTTCGATTCCGGCCAAGGGCATGTACCTTGGTTGCGGACACATCCCCAGTAGGAGATGTGCAAGAGGCAACTGATCGATGCTTCTCTCTCATCGATGTTTCTAACTCTCTATCCCCTTCCTCTCTGTGAAAAATCAATAAAATATATTTTTTAAAAAATAAATAAATAAATAAAATGTTCTCCTGGGCCCGGCCCGGGTGGCTCAGTGGTTGAGCGCTGACCTATGAAGTAGGAGGTCACGGTTCGCTTCTCGGTCAGGGCACAGGCCCGGGTGCAGCACCATCTTCAGTCGGGGGCGTGCAGGAGGCAGCTGGTCAATGTTTCTCTGTCATCGATGTTTCTCTCTCTCTATCCCTCCCCCTTCCTCTCTCTCTCAAAAAAATCAATAAAAACATTAAATAAAAAAGTTCTACTCCGCAAGCGTCAGGCACACTGCGTGTTTGAGCGGAAGGGATGGAGTGCCGAGAACGGGCGCCGCAGCCCGGAGCAGCTGGAGGAGTGGCCGCCGGGGGGAGCTCCTGCGGGCGCCCCGTCTCTGGTGCCGCCCGTTGGGGTGGGGGGGACAGGCTGGGGACCGAGCCCGCGGAGACCGCCGCCTGCAGGCAGGAAGGGGACCCGCTTCACTGCCGACCCGCAGTCTCGCACGCGTGTCCTGTCCCGTGAGTAGAGCGTCACTTCTCGCAAGCCCCGCTGTAAACCGGCTTCTGGCGACAGCCTGGGGGCCGGAGAGCATGGCGCTCAGTGGAATGGCCACGCAGTGAAAGACAAGGACCACGTGATCTCACTTCCATGTGGACTCTAATGAACAAAACAATTGGACAAACAAAATAGAGATAGAAACACGGATTACACAGAACAGACTGACAGCTGTCAGAGGGAGGGGCTTGGGAGCTGGGTGAGAAGAGGTGAAGGGATTAAGCAAACAATACTATCTATCTCTCTATCTGTACATCGAAAAACACACACAGATGCAGACAGCAGCGTGGCGACAGCCACAGAGGAAGGAGGTGGGCGCGGGAGGCTTGGCTGTGGGCAGTGGGCACAGACGCCGTGTGCGGATGACGTCTTACTGACTCGTGCACTCGAAACCGGTGTGGTTTTGCGGACCAGTCACCCCTGTCAGTTCAGTGACAAGTGAAATAAATGAAGAGGTGGATGAACTCACCTCTGCCTTCCAGGAAGGCGCCCGCGGAGGCCGAGCAGAGCCAGCCCTGTCCCAGCACCAGGCCCGGAGCTTGGTAACGGACCGGGGCCTGGCTGCTCCCCGCCCGGAGTGCCTGCTGTGCAGCTGTCGGGCCTGCTGACCTGGGGAGTCCCCTCCATCACTACCAGGTGCAGCATTATCTTATGTTCCACGAAGAAGAAAAAAGCTGCCTATAAAACCAGACTTAAATTCTTCTCACTGAGAATTTTCATTTATGCTGACGGAAAGAATTCTCTAAGTGTATTTCAGCTTTGGTTTCTGTATAGACTTTACTTTTGTATGTACATATAAAAAGCAAAATGTGAGCCAAATACGCTGGCCCAGGTGTAGCTGCACCGCCGGAGCCCCGCCCTTCGGAGCGTCTGGGGGTGGTGTTTGTGTTGTTCTGCGGTGTTGTCCTCGGGGCCACCGGAGGCAGGGACACACTTTCTTTTTTTTTTTTTTTAAATATATTTTATTGATTTTTTACAGAGAGGAAGGGAGAGAGATAGAGAGTTAGAAACATCGATGAGAGAGAAACATCGATCAGCTGCCTCCTGCACATCTCCCACTGGGGATGTGCCCGCAACCCAGGTACATGCCCTTGACCGGAATCGAACCTGGGACCTTTCAGTCCACAGGCCGACGCTCTATCCACTGAGCCAAACCGGTTTCGGCAGACACACTTTCTTAAAAGAAAGCTTCGCCTCTACTGTTTCCGGAGTTTTCCGGATTCTGCAGATTCTGATGCCGACACTTTCCGGCCTCAACCAGCCGGCGTCGGGCAGCACTAGCCAGGCCGCGTTGCCCCAGCGGACCGTTGCTTCCCGAGTTGTGTTTGGGACGGAAGCCTCGAGGAGCGCAGGTCCGCGTGCCTCGGGCAGTGACATGCGTGTTTGCGGGTGCGAAGGCAGGGACCCCTGTGTCTCCGTTGATTTCAGAGAGGTTCTCGGTGGCCGTCTCGGAGCTAATGAAGCATGTTATGCCCACCAGCTCAAGCTTGTTAATTATGTTGGTCAAGCCTATACCGGCCCCCTCCTTTTGCCTTTGATGGGAAAATTCCGTGTTTACATGTACATCTGTCGGTTTCTGCTTTATATATTCGGAGGCCATTTTGTTAGATGCGTATAAATTCAGACGTGTTTGTTGCGTGGTTAATTAAATATGTGACTATCTAGTGACTTCATCTCACCCTGGTTTGCTGTGTTAACGGGCCCCTTCCTCTTAGTGAGGTTTGTCTGGTGTACCTGTCTCTGCCTCCTTTCTTCAGTTGTTAGCTATTCTTAGGTTTTAAACATGTGGTTTATAATTGTCAGTGTTGTTTGCTTCTTTATGTTCAGGTTTTAAACCTTGGTCCTTTTCCCATCTGTGTTCATTGTAAATGTATCAGTTGTTTTTGATCGCGCAACAAAGTATTACAAAGTGATTGGCTTACAACAACACTGGGTCACCTTCCTCTCCGGCCTGTGTGTTGGCTGCTGGTTGGGGGGCCTGCTGGTCGGGCCCTGCTGGTCGGGGGCCTGCTGGTCGGGGGCCTGCTGGTCGGGGGCCTGCTGGTCGGGGGGCGTGCTGGGTCGGGGCCCTGCTGGTCGGGGCCTGCTGGTCGGGGGGTGTGCTGGTCGGGGGCCTGCTGGTCGGGCCCTGCTGGTCGGGGGGTGTGCTGGTCGGGGGCCTGCTGGTCGGGGGCCTGCTGGTCAGGGTCTTTGCACCTGGATGCAGCCAGCCAGCGGCCAGGTGGCCGAGCTCCTCCAGGAGTCCTCGCTCACCTGTCTGCGGCCTTCGTCGAGGAGGCTGTGACAGCTGGGGTGTCTGGGACTCTCTGCAGTGGTTTCTTTCCACAGTAGATGTCACACCCAGGCCGCTGGCCGGGCTTCCCCTGAGCACGTGGTTCGGGTTCCAGGGTAGCAAAAGCTCTGGACCCCGCACAGTGTCCCTTAAAAGGGACCGCCTTCTCTTGGTCAAAGGAAGTCCCAGAGCCAGTCTGGCTTCCACGTGGACAAAGACTCCTCCACCGCTAAGCAGTTCATGACTGTGATCCAGAAAGAGGAACCAGACGAGCAGGAATGGCCAATGCCGCAGAGGCTACTCATTATAAGAGGCTGTTGTGGACGGCTCTGTGCCAGTGAAACATTCGGCGACGTCCGCCTTCCACGCCTGGCCACCCTCTCTGCTGCACTGGGCTCCCCATCCCCCGAGGGTACCCGCCACCCGTCCCCCGAGGGTACCCGCCACCCGTCCCCCGAGGGTACCGGCCTTCTCAGGAGGGACTGCTGCCAAGATTTCGGTGTTCCTCCTCCCTGTACATGCATTCACGCCCCGCTGTACGTACACACGTTTCCCAAACACTCAGAGCCGTGCCGCCCCGCCCTGTGGCAGGTGTCGTGGCAGGGATGTCGCGGCAGGGATGTCGCAGCTGCTCTCGCCGGCCCCATTTCGCTCGTGAGGCTCGTCTCTGTCATAGACGGAGCTGAGCCTTTTCCTGACCGCGTGGGTTCTGCTGGACAAGCGCCGTGATTGTACCTCTTGCCCGTGGGAGCGGGTGGGGGGGTGTCTGTGGGGCCAGCCCAGCGCCGGGGCCTGGAGACACGGTGCGGAGCGGCGGCTGCACCTCGGACAGGCCCCGCGGTCCGGGCGGCCGGTCACGGCTCCCTGTGCTTTCCTCTCAGCGCCCGAAGACCTCTCCTTAGAAGAGCGGGAAGAGCTCCTAGACATCCGTCGAAGGAAAAAGGAACTTATTGATGACATCGAGGTAAAAATAAATCTTCTCGTTTTTGCTCGCAGTGAATCCCGTAGCTTCATGAGCATGTGAACACTGGGTACCTAGTGTGTCCGGATCGGGCCGCACAGGACGGAGCAGAGAGCCTCCGGGGGGGGGGGGGCAGCCCTGCTCACCCACAGACACCCCCCCCACACACACACCCACACACACCCCCCACACCCCCCCCACAACACACCCCCACACACACACCCCCCCACACACACACCCCCACACACACCCCCAAGGGAGCAGCAGGAAGTGACACCTGGCACCAGGGTCCCCAGTCTTTTCTAGCGCCCGCTGCTTTGGCTCAGTGGATAGAGCGTCAGCCCATAGACTGAAGGCTCCCAGGTTTGATTCCCGTGTCTCTCTCACATGGATGTTTCTCTCTCTCCTCTCTCTCTCCTCTCTCTCTCTCTCTTCCTCTCTTTCTCTCTCTCTCTCCCCCTCTCCCTCCCTCCCTCCCTCTCTATCTCCCTCTCTCTTCCACTTTCTCTGAAAATCAATGGAAAAACATCCTCAGGTGAGGACTAACAACAACAGAAAGTCTGTTTAAACAGCCGCAGCCACCTGCAGGCGCATTGCTCTCTAATCGGCGGTGAGGCCGTTTCGTGGGGCGCAGCCCAGCACCTGGCGCGCTGCCTGCCGGTTTGGGGCACCGGCGCCTTTTGCGGGAGTGCAGTGCCGCCAGCTGTGCGAGCAGCATGATGAGAAAACACGCAGATAAACCATGTCCCCCCACACTGTCCTCGCGGCAGGGCAGGGGCAGCCTCAGGAGCAGCGAGGGTGAGCCGCAGCCATTGCAAAACTTATTCAGAAGACGGCTCGCTGCTGCCCTCGGGCCGCCCTGGGAGTCAGGCGGGCGTGGGGCCCAGACAGCCCCTCCCTCCCGGAGCCCTCAGGTCAGTCTGAGGGTCGTGCGCACAGCCTGGAAGGGATCCTCAAAGCTGTCCTGTGCCGGACGGAAACTCCGGGGGCTTCTTCTTCCGAGGTGACCCTCCGTCCTTGGAGACACAGGCCCCAGCAGAGGCGCTGTGGCTGCAGAGTGAGGCCGTTTCAAGGTGAACGTGTGGCCGTTACCACGCTGGTGCCTGTGGAGTCTAGTGGAGCTCTCACCACCGGGTTTTGAGTTGAGGGTGCTGAGGCCTGGGAGGTTAAGAGGGTGACGAAGGTCTCTCGGTCAGTAGGTGGTGGGGCCACGTGGAGGGACAGGGAGTGTCCCTTCTGGTGTCCTTGGCGTGTCCGAGGGCCACGGGCAAGCTCTGTTGTCACCCCCGGCTCTGTCCATGGTGCTTCGTCTCAGGCAAAGCCATGGAAAGTGATGGGTCAGCCTCAGAGCGGGCAGGGACACTGTTCTAAATGCCTTTGAGCTTCGCGGCCCCCCTCCCCCCCCACGCACACACACCTCCTGGCCGCAGGGGGAAGGAGAAGGCAGGTGGCATGTGAGCTGACGTTTCATGGCTGCAGCAAGTGACCGATATCATTGCTTTCCTCTCGCTGTTCTGTCATTTACACCTGTGATGTCTTCCCCAGTGTCCCTTCTTTTTTTATTGATTTTAGAGAGAGAGCAAGGGAGAGAGAGAGAGAGAAACATCCATGATGAGAGAGAATCATGGATCGGCTGCTTCCTGCACACGCCCCACTGTGATTGAGCCTGCAACCCAGCACGTGCCCTTGACCGGAATTGAACCGTGACCACCTGATTTGTGGGTCAATGCTCAACCACTGAGCCACGCCGCCGGCCCCAGTGTCCCGTCTTGATGTCACCCACTAACACTGCAGAACCCACCTGGCGACGAGGCGGCCGGGCACAGTGCCTCTTTCTCCTGCGTTGGGGGCGTGTCCGGCAGTAGTGCTTGTCCACCCGGCGCCCAGGGGAGGGGGAAGCAGCACTTGAGGCCGCATCCCTGAGGCCAGGAGAGGAAGGGCGGGGCCCACCCACACCCACACCCACACCCACACCCCCACCCCCACCCCCTCCCAATCCTGCCTCTTGCAGAGACTCAAGTACGAAATCGCCGAGGTCATGACTGAGATCGACAACCTGACATCCGTGGAGGAGAGGTAAGCGGTCTGGGGTGGGGTGGGGGGGGTGGGACCGGGCCCTCAGTTCCTCCCTGCCCGGGAGCAGCGGGGACCTTCGTGTGACGGGACGTGCTGCTTCAAGGCTCTGCCTCACACAGCGGCGATCCCTGAAGTCGTCAGATGGAAGCAGGGGCCCTGGCAGCCGCCCCGGCTGCTGCCACCTCCCGGGCAGGCTTTAGGGGCTGGGGGCTGCAGCGCTGGGTGCAGTGTCCGCTCACCGTGTCCTGATGTTTCCACGCACAGCAAAACGTCTCAGAGGAACAAGCACATCGCCATGGGAAGGAAGAAGTTCAACATGGACCCCAAGAAGGTAAGAGCGTGTCCGTGTCTGGCTGCGAGACGCTGACGGACTGGCTGAAAGGCGCCTCCCTCTTGGGTAAAGGTGGCCATTCCACCTCTTAAACGACAGACTTGGTGTCAGTGTTTATTGAGGGAAAGGCTGCCAGTGAACGGGGAGGACAAAAGCGCCCTTTGAACTGGTCCCAGCACCGGAAGGCCTTTCCATGGAGGTTCCGAGCGAGGATGGGTCTCGGGAGCCGGGCCGGGTGCGAGGCTCGGGCAGAGGGGATCCTGCGGGCAGAGCAGCCGACGCTGGTCTGGGGGCACCAGGTGGTTCAAGTACAAGGATGCTCTTCCTTTCTTCGCCTTCAGTCCCTGGGAAAGACCCAGGCTCTGCCCAGACTGCAGCCAGGGCCTTGGTCTCTCCCCAAAGTGGATTTCCTACAGAAACACCCCACATCATGGCACCTGCCCCATGTCGCTGCTTGTTCCGAGCTCGAGCTAAAGGGCGGAGCAGAACCGTGAAGCCTGGAGCACGTGGCTCAGAGGACAGTGGGCCTGCGTGTGTGTGTGTGTGTGTGTGTGTGTGTGTGTGTGTGTGTGTGTGGCATGTGGGTGGCATGTGTGCACGTGTGCGGCATTGTGTGTGCATGTACATGTGCGTGTGGCATGTGCGTGCGGCATGTATGTGCGCGTGTGGCGCGTGCGCGTGCATGTGTGTGTGCACGGCATGTGTGCGTGCGTGTGTGCGTGTGCATGTGTGTGTGCATGTGTGCGTGTGTGATGGAGTCTCTGTTCTCACTGGTTAAGGATTTGTTCATTCAATAAGTGGTTGCTGGTTGCGTGGTCCGACCTGTAGACGTGCGCTCACAGGTGCAGGCGCAGTTGCCGGCGTCACGGAGAGAAGCGCGTGTCTCTGTTGCGCCCGTGGGTGCAGATGCCGGCCCTTCAGGTCCAGCCTGTGTGCAGCCGCGTGTGCTCCCGCCACTGTCCCGCCCTCCGCTGGCCTGACCCGCTCGTGGGGCGTCCGTCGGCCCCGCTCGGTCAGTGGGAGCGAGCGCACTTGGTCACGATGTGATACTTGGGGTCAGGAATGGGTTTTCTTCCTGAGAAGCTGAGTTTACAGAGTTGAGTTGTGAGCAGGTGGCATGAGCTCCCAGGAGAGAGGCCCTTTAACAAGCGGATGTTGCAAAAACTGGGCCTTGCGCTTCAAAGAGCAGCACAGGTAGCTCCCCAGTAAGTTCACGGATGAGTTCACATCTTTTCTTTTTAAATTTTATTTCAGAGAGGAAGGGAGAGGGAGAGGGAAGCATCAGTGATGAGGGAGAAGCATCCATCGGCTGCCTCCTGCACGCCCCTTACTGAGGATCGAGCCTGCAACCCAGGCATGTGCCCTGACCGGGAATTGAACTGTAACCTCCTGGTTCCTAGGTCGGTGCTTAACCACTGAGCCACACCGGCCAGGCTTAGTTCACATCTTGCTCGTGAAACGCATGTGGACATACATGTGTAGGCGGGGCTAGGGCTCCACACAGGTCCTCTCTGTCGGACTCGCCGTCTTACTTTCCAGACATTGTGTGTCCAGTTAGCAGCGGTCAGGGTTAACGTTTATGGAGAACTGTGCGAAGGAGGCACTTTAATTAATGTGCACAGCCCTTCACAACAACCAGCTGAAGTAGGTTCCATTTTATTTCCCGCTTCACTGCTGGGGAAACCGAGGCACAGAGCAGCCAGGGAGCCGGCCCAGGGTCCGGAGCCGGAGCCGGAGCCGGAGTCACTGCCCCTCGGAGTGTGCAGGGGCCGAGGGCAGCCGGGCATCCCGGACCCCAGCCTGTTCTGTGCCCGCAGGCGCGTTGTGGGAAGGGCGGTCTCGCGGCGCCCGGGCGGGCTGGCTCTGCCTCCCCCTTCGCCCAGGCTCTGAAAGGGTCCACGTTCGTCCGCTCCACTCGCTGGTGGTCACGTGGCTCCCTGGACGCGGTGGCCTGTGCAGGCTGCAGGGCGCTCGCCGGGGAGTGTCCCAGTCCTCTGGCTCGGAGGGTGGCGATGGCTGGCGCGTGTGCTCGGCAGAGGGCTGGGTGGGGGGATCGGGGCACGTGGCCCACGAGCCAGGCCCTGCCCTCTGGGCGCATCACTGAGGAGGAGAAACAGCACAGGCCTGCTGCTGCGGACCCACCTGTGTCTCCTGCCCCTCGGCCGGTCCCTGGGCAGCTCCAGGACAAAATGGGAACTGGGGCTCCAGCCGCCTGAGCCCCGGCCGGGGCCCTTGTTACTTGCGCTGTGTCCGGCCGGTCACTGCCTCCCCTCCCGCTCCTCAGGGCATCCAGTTTTTGATGGAGAACGGCCTGCTGCAGGGCGCCCCGGAGGACGTGGCGCAGTTCCTGTACAAGGGCGAGGGCCTGAACAAGACCGTCATCGGGGACTACCTGGGGGAGCGGTGAGTAGGGGGCTGCGCCGCCAACCTGCCACCCCTCAGGGCCTGCCCCTCGGGGTCCTTCCCCCTGAGCTCCCAGCCCTGAACGGCAGCGCTGTGGGTGCCGGCCTCCCGGTTCCTGGGACGTGCCTTCCGCCCAGCACACCTTCAGGTCAGATGACCGTCTGCCACCCTCCCTCTGGCAGCTGCGACGCAGTCAGTCCCCTACAGAGTCCCCTCTGCATCAAGCCTGCAAACGGGAGATCTTAACTCTTCGTCGCAGGAAGTGGAAACCACAAAACCTTGTCTTAAAATGATGGGCATAGTCTGCAGGGGCCGCAAAGCACCTTCCTCTCTCCCTCCAGGGACGAGTTTAACATTAAAGTGCTCCAGGCTTTTGTCGAGCTCCACGAGTTTGCTGATCTCAACCTCGTCCAAGCCTTAAGGTGAGTGTCGGCAGCGGCTGTCCGAGAGGAGCAGGTGTGGTTGGGAGGCCCCGGCCACTGCGTCCGGTCCAGACCACTCCTGTGCTGGGAGCACTCGCCCAGGGAGAGGGGCAGGCGCAGGGGCGGGGCTGTGCAGCCTCCACATGGCCCTCCGTCCGGACTGGGGTGTGGCGCCCGGTGCTGGATCCCGTCGGATGCTGCAGCAGATTCCGAGTTTCTGTTCTGGAAAACTGCCTGGTAGGGAGGTGCAGGCCGGGCGTGTCGGGGCGGGTCTGGGGGCGCAGACCCAGTGGCTGGGACGCCATTTCTCGTGGCTGCTCAGCCTCTGGCCAGAGCCTCAGGGTCTTGACTGGGGCAGGTGTCAGTGGGTGGTGAGGCCGGAACCCAGGCGGCTCGGTGGGTCCTCGGGCTCTGCTGTCCTCCCTACCCGTCCCGTCCCGCCCAGGGGAGGGGCCCTGCACTGTGGGGGCGCTATAGGCACTGAGGCCCAGAGGGCGCTGTCCCCCCCCCAACCCCACGCGGCAGGTCCTCCTGGCCAGTGGGGAGGCCAGGACTGGACCCTGACGGCCATTCTGGCCTCGTTTCTCTCCAGGCAGTTCCTGTGGAGCTTCCGGCTCCCCGGGGAGGCCCAGAAAATCGACCGCATGATGGAGGCGTTCGCGTCCCGCTACTGCCTGTGCAACCCCGGCGTCTTCCAGTCCACAGGTCAGTGATGGTCGGCGGCGTGTGTGCCGTGGGGCCACCCCCAGGCCGCTCTCCTGCACGCGGTGGCCTCTGACATAGCACCCAGACCAGCCTCCCGGCCCCGCCGCTGAGCCCCGCCCTCTGACCTCGCAGACACGTGCTATGTGCTGTCCTTCGCCATCATCATGCTCAACACCAGCCTGCACAACCACAACGTGCGGGACAAGCCCACGGCCGAGCGCTTCGTCACCATGAACCGAGGCATCAACGAGGGCGGGGACCTGCCCGAGGAGCTGCTGAGGGTGAGCCCGCGAGCCGCCCTCCCCGCCCTGCGCGTGGCCTCCGTCCTCAGGAGGGTCCCCGTGAGCGTGGGCAGCACCAGCCCACTGACCTGGAAGCATCTCTAGCGCGCCCCTCGCCGCCCCGTCCCCTGGGCTGGCCGCTGCCCCGTCCCCGGGGCCGGTCGGCTGGGAAGGACAGGCCTCCGCTGAACCGGGCGCCGCTGCTGTCCTGGCAGAACTTGTACGAGAGCATCAAGAACGAGCCCTTCAAGATCCCGGAGGACGACGGCAACGACCTGACCCACACCTTCTTCAACCCCGACCGCGAGGGCTGGCTGCTGAAGCTGGGTGAGTGGGGCTGAGAGGGGCCTGAGGCAGCTGCATGGGGGGGGGGGGGCAAGAGCCCAGCCCAGGGCCAGAGATGGGGGGGCGGGGGGGGGAGACAGGTGGCTCTGGGCTGAGGAGCAGCTGGAGCAAAGGCCCTGGGGCCACAGCTGGGGTGGGCCCAAGGTCCTTGGAGGGAGCAGCAAGAATCTTGGGGAGGCACGTGGTCAGACCCTTGGGACAGGGACCAGGGGGCGGGAGCAGCCTGTCAGGGAGAAGGGGAGACCCAGCCAGACCTGCCTTCACAGCATGGCCTAGGCCCTCCCCAGGCCTGGCCTCAGGAGGATAGATGTCCCATCAGTGAGGGTCCCCGAGGGCTCTCCAAGGTCTACCCACGGACACCAAATTCCAGCTGTTGGGACTCCCTCCCGAAGCCGCCTCCCCCTGGACCTCTGCAACCTCAGCCCCGGGATGACCAGGGGGCGGGCCAGTGTCCCCCATGTCCCCCGTGCCCCCACGCCTCCGTGCAGGGATGGCCCCGTGCCTCAGCCCGATGGCCCGCACCCGCTTGCATGTGTGCTGTGGGGAAGGGGCCGCGCCCCCGAGACCGTGGTCGCCTTGGGAGCCGCGGGGCAGGACGAGCCGCTCCTCCCTCTGCCCGTGGTCTGTCAGCTCCCACACCTGCGCTTTTCTCGTCATTGTTTGTAAGCTTGTCGGGCAGGGGCTGGAATGTGAAGCCAGTTTTCTCTGCTGAATACTTAAGGGTGAAAAACATTTCTCTTCCATAGAGAAAGGCGTAGACACAGATGAGCTGTGTGTGTGTGTGTTTACGTGCGTGTCCCAGATCTTGTTAAGAGATTAATTCAATCTCATAATTCCCCGGGCCGAGGAGTAATTGATTTTGATGGATCCCAGGGCCGCGCAGAGCTCGGTCATGTGACCAGAGCCCTGATGGAAGGGATTGAGCCCTGGGCGGACGGCCCGCTGCCATCGGTGTCATTTCCACGTGGGGAAATTAAGCCCATTCATCGCGACTGATTTCCAGGAGGCGCATTGGGAAAGCAATTGAGTTGTCTGGGTGCCCAGGGGGCTGAGAGGGCAGCGGCAGGCCTGGGTGGGGTGCCCACGGGACCCAGCAGAGCACCAGGCCGCGCGCCCACGTGTCGCCAGGTGGGCAGGAGCCGTCCGAATGGCCCAGGCCACACGGCTGGTCAGGACGCGGCTGAGTGTTGGACGGACGGTTGTGCGTTTTCACGAGGAAGGAAACAAAACCACGCGTGGCTCCTGGTGGCCCTCTGACGGCGGTCGCCTGGGCAGGTCCGGGCCAGGGTCCTGCCGGCGCGGCTCTGCTCACGGCCTCTGCTTGCAGGCGGGCGCGTGAAGACCTGGAAGCGGCGGTGGTTCATCCTCACCGACAACTGCCTCTATTACTTCGAATACACGACGGTAAGCGCGGGCGGCGGCCGGCCCCTCCCTCGGCGGCAGGCCCCTCCCTCGGCGGCAGGCCCGGCAGCCCGTGAGGCTGGCTGCGTGCTCCTCTCTCGCAGGATAAGGAGCCGCGGGGGATCATCCCGCTGGAGAACCTCAGCATCCGGGAGGTGGAGGACCCCCGCAAGCCCGTAAGCTGCCTGGCTCCTGCCCCCGTCTGTCCCTCTGCCCGCTCCGGCGCTCCCGCGCTGGCCGCTGGGGGGAGGGGAGGGTGGACACAATATGACCACCTCCCCGGCCCTCCTGACGGTCCCGCTCTGCCCCACCAGAACTGTTTCGAGCTTTATAACCCAAGCCACAAGGGGCAGGTCATCAAAGCCTGCAAGACGGAGGCGGACGGCCGGGTGGTGGAGGGCAACCACGTGGTGTACCGCATCTCGGCGCCCAGCCCGGAGGAGAAGGAGGAGTGGATGAAGTCCATCAGGTGGGGCCCAGGCCGCGGACCAGGCTCAGGCTGTCAGTTCCGTGTGGTTATCGGTAAAAGCCTGTGAGTCTTAGGATCGCAGGACGCCCGTCAGTAACCATCAGAAAGCTTTGAAAAGATGCAGAGTTCTTACTTAAAAGACCCAGAAATGACACAGCTGACGTGGGGCCACCCCGCGAGCTGGTGGGGCAGGGGGCGGGGATAGTGTCACATGGGCCTGGGAGCTGCTTTTATTGGGGGCGAGGGTGGGAGCCTAGAGTTTTGAGGGTTCACTCTTTATTGGTGAAAATTAAAACTCTCGTACAAGTGGGAATTCAAAGCGCAGGAGGAGAAAACAAGCAAGTAGCCTAAATGGTCGTCTCCTGAAATCGAGATCTCTGACACGCAGGAGCACGGGGTGGCCTGGCCAAGTCTGGCTGCCGCATTGTCCTTGGGTGGGTGGCGGCCTTGTTGTCACAGTGGAGTCAGGCCTTGTGTTATGAGTTAGAGGCGCAGACGGCGGGGCTGACAGCACAGGCTCCAGGCCTGCACAGATCTGCTGCGGGCACCTCTACCTCTGCACTTGGAGGTGTGTGTGTGTGTGTGTGTGTGTGTACACGTGTGCACAGGTCTGCTGCGGGCACCTCTACCTCTGCACTTGGAGGTGTGTGTGTGTGTGTGTGTGTGTGTGTACACGTGTGCACAGGTCTGCTGCGGGCACCTCTACCTCTGCACTTGGAGGCGTGTGTGTGTGTGTGTGTGTGTGTGTGTACACGTGTGCACAGGTCTGCTACGGGCACCTCTGCACTTAGAGGCATGTGTGTGTGGTGTACATGTGTGCACGGGTCTGCTACGGGCACCTCTGCACCTGGAGGTGTGTGTGTGTGTGTGTGTGTGTGTACACGCGTGCACAGGTCTGCTGCGGGCACCTCTGTACTCGGAGGCGTGTGTGTGTGTGTGTGTGTGTGTACACGTGTGCACGGGTCAGCTGCGGGCACCTCTGCACTCAGAGGCGTGTGTATGTGTGTATGTGTGTGTGTGTACACGTGTGCACGGGTCTGCTGTGGGCACCTCTGCACTCGGAGGCGCACCTGTCTGGTGGGAGAGCCCGCGGTGGAGGGGGCGCACCTAACTGCGTGTTTCCGTGTCCCCAGAGCGAGCATCAGCAGGGACCCTTTCTACGACATGCTGGCCACGCGGAAAAGGAGGATTGCCAATAAAAAGTAGCTTTCCTCGCCTGAACAGGTAAAAAGTAAAACCAAAACCCCACAGCAGAGGGGCCGGGCGAGGCAGCCCAGGAAGCGGTGCGCCAGCGCGGCCTGCGGGCCCCGAAGCCTCACGCGCGTCTGGTGAGCGACACCGGGCGTTTCCCTCCCGCCAACCTCGGCCTCGCGGCCGTGTCCACTCGTCCTCCTTGCGGTTCCTGTGGCAGCGGCGCCTGGGAGTCGAGCCGCGACCATCCACGCAGCGGACTCGGGCGCGAGGTCTGCCACGGAACCTCGCTCCTCCAGTCGCCACACATGCTCATTCGTGATGGTGTTCACTGTTTTAGAAGCTTCTGTTTTATATCAAAACGAAAGAAAAGCTACCACTTTTTTATTCAGATTTTTTTTCTCAGATATATAGGACTCTAGCTTTTATATGCCTTTTTATACTCTGAAATTATGAAAGATACTTACTTTCTGATAGTATTTTTAGAATGGCAGCTATAAACGTAACTCCCGCCACAAGTATGTACTGTGCACTGAACAGAAGTGATGTAGACACTATATATGCAGCAGCCGGGCGGGCACTGCACGGGGGGCGCCCTCATTCCTCCTGGACAGGGAGGGTCCAATTCCCCAGGGACCCCTCAGCTCAGGCCTGGTGGCCCCCCAGACACTTCCTGAAAAGGCCAATCAGTACCGCTGATGATTGGGGGCATTTGTCCCATAACTGCGGAGCCCCGGCACAGACCTGTGTGGAACCAGATGAAACTGCCTGTGTGGGACGCCCACAAGCCGCAGTTCCATCGGTTCCACTGAACACGGGGCTGGTTCAGCCTGCGGCCACTGCCTTCGCTATTGAGAACCTTCGTGCAGAAAGGACGCTTGTGTCCCTGATCTGACCGTTGACCACGTTCCTCAATAGGATCGAAGGCATGGAAGTAACGAAAAGCACGCTCACTGCACGTGGCGGAGCTCTCCTGTCCCGTCCCGCGGGGAGAGCGGGCTGCGGGGCGATGTGGCGTTTAGGGTTTCCTGTCAACAGTACAGCCCCAGGTGCACGCTGTGGGGCACCTCGCAGGCCCAGGACCGGGTGCTGGCCGGGCCCCAGCACATCCCAGACCGACCGTGGCGCACAGGTGGCGGGGCTGGAGCCGTGCTGGCTCTCCGGGACACGCCTTTCTTTTCCTTGGGGCTTTGTTCCCATCGCCAGGACGGCCTTGCTCACGGGGCTGTTCTGGTGGTGGGTCCCTTCCCCCACCAGCTCCTCTCCCTGCCCGTCCGCTTGGGCACACCCTGAACTTGCACCCTTTAGAGGTCTTCCCCCTGCGAAAGCCCAGCCCGAGAAGGAGAAGCCGACTGACCTATGCACGGACGTGGAGATCCGACGGCAGGAGGAACTTCCTGAGCGTGGCCTTGCTGAGACTGGGTGGCCGTGGGCCTAGGCCTCGAGCTGCTGATCTTGACGTAGCTTTAAGTCACACTAGACTAGAAAGGGCTGAGCCCACGGTCCTCCGACATGCATCAGACCGGCTTTCCTGGCTTATCCCCAAGCTCTTCAGCTTTGTTATTGTACCGATACCTCAAATTCGAAGCTTTAGTTTTTGAGAAAGGCAAGTCTTTGTTCTCAAAATGCCCGGCTGCTGCATGTGCAACTCTGGCCTCCACACACAGACGCGGCAGCGCCGCCCCCGGGCTGGCCCCATGCCCAGGACTGCCCACTCAGTCCCCACGCGTGGACTTGTCCTGTGACCCAGGTCGGACCCTGGGGAGACGGGCTGTCTGTCTCTCGGGTGTGGCCTCAGCGGGGCTGGGCGAAGGGACGGGAAGCCCTGGAGGGATGCTTCTCTGGCGCCTGTGAGGGGGCTCGGTGCAGAGAGCCATGGTGCCCACGCTGTGTGCTTGCCTCAGCCACGGGAACCACCCCGTGCCAGGCGTCGTGGTGACAGATTAACCTAACAGGCATGAAGCCGTCACCCCCGAGCCCTCAGGCAGGCCTGGTCTGAAAAACCAGCAGACGTGGAGCTGGCGGCCTGGTGCCTGGGCCAATACGATCATGTTCATCCCCCCCCCCCCCCCCAATGCTGAATTATCCCCACTCTGGCCAAAGACATGCTCCCTGAGACCCAGGGCAGGCGGTGAGGGGCGCTGGGCAGATGCAGCAGCCCCCCAGCCCACAGCCTCTGTTGGCAGAGACCCAGACAAGCAAGCGTCCTCAGGATCACAGGACATTTTGAGCAGTTTAACGTGGTACCAAACTGAGTCCAGACAGAAGCTATTTCTAGGTGAAGCGATGCCTATTTTTCAAGTTAAGATGCACAGACCTACGTAGATGCACTTTGCCGAAAAGTTAGGTTTGGTGTAGACCAGAAGCCACACGTGATTTCTTGTTTTCTTAGAAGACATTTCTATTTACAGTAAATATCGTTAGTATGTAAATAATGTACATATATGTTGATTCCTGGGGTGTTTATTCAATGTATATACTCCCACAATTTGCATGAAGAAATATCGTACATCAGTATTTTGTTGTAAATAGTAAAACTGGAGGGGGTGTGGCTGTCAAATACTATGTTCACGGAATAAAAGGAAATGCATTGTTACAAGACTGCCTAAGACTGGGTTCTTTGAAATAGATTGCTGGGGCCAGCAACCCTGCCCCCATTTCCCCGCCCCCCATTTGCACCTTCCGCCCTGAGCTTTGGCAGTTTTTAAAAAGTAAAGGCAACAGGAAGAAGTCATGCGACGTGTCCGTAAGCAAATGGGGCAAACAGCAGTAAAAAAGAAGACACAAATGTTTAATTTGCTGCCATTTATATACTATATAAATTTTACATGCTGTATATTTACAGTGGGGCAAGTGCTTTTTTAATCTTTAAAAAAACAAAGATCAAACTTTAGACATCTCTGAACAACACAAACTGTATAAACCATACAGATTATTCAGATACAAACTGTATTAAATACAGTTGTCCCCACGCCGTCTCCTGATGCAGGACCAGTGAATTATAAGTGTATCACAGTTTGATAGCATATCCATATTAAAAATAAAATCACAGTATGATTTTGTCTGTAACTAGAAACTTTTCAGGGACCAAGCTGATAACTCAGACTCCAATATCATAGTCAAGACAAGAGAAACTGTATAAAAAGTGTTATGTAATAAAAAACGTACTGTAGGCTTTACAAATAATGTCTGGATTATACATTCATAATGTAAATACTCATCATAACTGGTAAGTTGATTGGAATAGTTCCACAAAGTTCAAAAACAGAACTTGTCTATAAAATACACCTTCCAATCTTGAATAAACTGAAACATGAAGCACGTTTGTTTCTAGTGTCAGACATTACAGAAAACACTGCTCTCGAGTCAGCCGAGAGCTCGCGGAGCTTAAATAGTCTTTAAATTAAATATGCACTGTCAGCTGTTTGTACGTGAACAATCCCAGGGTCCCGGCTGGCCTTGCACCGGAGGTCTGATTGGAGGAGCATTACATGGAATACGAGAGGTCAACCTGAGTCTGTGATTAAGCAGCATTGAGATGTTCTAGTCCAGGGCGTCGCTTTTCATGTGATTTACATACATGTACTTTACAATGCTCAGCAGTTGTAGAAAGTGTTCGTCCATTTGGAATAAGGGTAATTAAGAAAAGGTAAAAACTAAAAAAGAAGTTCTCCATGGTAAAATCTGTACAGTATTTACTAAAGAAGCACCACGCAGATCTGAACAAAGTTATTTTCTATGTTTATAATGGAAGCTGGGTTGGGGATGGCTTCTGTTGGACATGTTGAATCTGAAAGACAAGAGGCAGGAAGCTGGAGCAGAGGGTCTAAGGAGCCCGCAGGCCTTGCTGCGGCACACGTCGCACCAGGACTATCTGTGGACTCGCTGCAGCCCGGCCTCGGGTAAGCTCTTCCTTACCGCACTGCCTGCCTTTCTGAATGGCTGTAAAGGGACTGGGCGGTTCCAGACACATAGGCCAGTCGTGCTGACGGCCGAGGCAGCAGGCAGCTCAGCACGAGGGCGCCATCTGCTGGGCATGGACCATGCCCACCGAACTCCAACTGGCTAATCCATCTCAACCCCTGAAGCCCTTAGCTGGGCTCAGGCCTTCCCAAGGACACACGGGTAAGTCATGTGGACTAACTGCACGTTAACCTGTGGACACATCACTGAGGTGTGTGTTTAAGTCCCTCTTGCTGACCAGAGTTAGACATTTGGGTAAAATGGCTGCCTCTCCCCTTTCCCGCAGCAAGGGCAGGTGCGAGACACGAGTCCGTCTCCCACATCAGCTGCGTCGCACTGACCAGGTTTGGATCTGCTCTAAAACACCTAAACCTCATTCAAATCAAGCAAACCCTTTTGTCGAAAATGGGGGGTGGGGCCAGACGCCTCTGATTTGTGGGTGTTCTGGCCCTGGTGTGTGTGGAGGATGGAGATTCCAGGGGCCCCTCTCAGGCATCCGGGAGGTCTGGGTGGAGGAGGCTGGATTTTCCATCTCTCCAAACGTTTCCCTATTATTCTGACGCTTCAAATACCCTCATTTTCTTACGAGGGAGGAAGGAGGGTTGGAGCCAGGATACTGACGAGGAGGGAGTGTTAAGCACAGTGCCAGCCTGGAGGACAGGGTCAGCTGCCCTTGCAGGGGAGCCTCCCGCACCTGTCCCCCACACCCGTGTCCCAAACTCTGTCCCCACAGTGCCTCTGCCAACAGTCATGGATAGACAGACGTGAAAACAGCTTACCATAACTAGTGAATTCTTTGTTTGAGGCCAAGCTTTCAGTCACCTAGAACGCAAGCAAAGGTTAAGAGACAGTTTAATGGTCTCATGGTGTCTGGTCCTGTGCCGGGTGCACAGCAGGCTCACAGCTCCGCGGGAAATAACGCCACACCGGGCCCAGCGTGCGCAGGGGTGTGTGGAGGGGCCCTTTCTCCGGGGGTTCGGGAAGACAGTCACCGCGGGGAGAAGCCGGGAAGCCACGCACGCCCGTGGACATGGTCCATCAGCCTTGTCACATGAGGTGGGGCAGGCTTTACACCAGAGACAGCGAGTCTGAAGGACAGATCAGCGGTCAAGACACCAGGACAGAGGACACGTGTCCCAACAGTTGACGGGGATGCTTGAAGGCCAGGTGACTGGCCCTTCCTGAGGGGACAGGCGGGGACAGTGCCGGGGCTGCTCAGAGTGGAGGTGTTGGATCGGGGACAGGACCACCGGCCACCTTGGGACACAAGCCTGACGGCAGCCCCTGGAGACAGAGCAGAGCTGCCCACGCCACCAGCGAGGTGGGCACTCGGCCTCCCCTCCCTCCAGAGCCCTGGGCGGCCCCACCCCCTGCGGAGGAGTCTGGCAACAGTGCTCGCTGCCTGGGACCCGTGCACACAGCCCCTCCCTGCGCAAGGGAGAGGGACTTCCCCCGACACTGACATGTTCACGGGAAACCAATCTGGAGACACATTAATCCCTTAAAAACAGCAAATACCACTTCCGCTCCACTTTCTTGCTGCCGAGGGCTGCCAGCTCCCACCACACGCCCTCCCGATGGAACACGCCATGCCTCGAGGTGCTGTTCTCTCCTCGCCAACACGGGCCCAGGTGCCCTCCTAGCCAACCTTCACAGGCTGGCCGCCCCCCACAGGTCACCTCGGCCGAGCCCAGGACACCGTCAGGAACCCTAAGGCCTCTGGGCAACCAGGGTGACAGTCACAGAAGGACACCTCGGGGTCCAGGGCGGTCAGCAAACTCTCCACAAAAGGCCGTAAAAGCTGGGCTGTGTTCCACTGCACTCTACACACCATTTCAATTTCATATGCTTTTCATGGGAAATGAAATCTTCTTTGGACTTTTCCAACCACTTGAGATGTTGAAGCCATTCTAACTGGCTGGCCCTGCCCTGGGCTGCGGTTCGCGGCAGCGCTAGGGCGCTGCCTACATCATGCTTTCTCGCAGGCTCCGTGCTGCTCGCCAGGGACGAAGGTCACTGGCACAGAGGAGAGGAGGGGGCAGCTTTAAGTGCAATTAGCGACAGAAAGGACCACACCATTACAGGGGCAGGGCTGTGCAGGTCAGACAAGACGGGACACCCAGAGTGATCCACTCCCCAGGAGCCAGAGCCCCGCACGACAGGTGCGACAGCTGACGTCCCTAATGACCCAAGTCATCAAACTGACTCCTAGGTTATGCTCAGAACGCCTGAGGTCTAAGGATTCCGGAGAGAAGAATATAAAAATGGTCTGAAAAGGAAAGTTCTGGCCCTTCCCGAGGAAAATGGTACCTGGAGCCCTAAATTCCAGGTGTGCATCAGGTTCTGTGAGGCCTGGTCCATGTAACCGGGGCTCCCCAAAATGCTAAGGGGGCCATGCTCCATGCCGCCCTCTCGGGGTGGGGGGTGGAGAAAGCGGGTGGGAGGGGCTCCTGCTGAAGCGCGTCCCCCCGCCACCCCCTCACCGCCCGTGCCATTGGGCCTTCCTCCCAGGTGTCAATCCCCTTTTCTAAAAAGACCAGCTCCTACATTCTTAAGTCCAAGTATCTCCTCTTACCCTGGCCACACTCAGACAGATGACCCCTGTCATCTCTGCTGTCCATCCTTAAATGTTTTGTTTTCTCGCGGAAAGGTCCAGCGCCTTCCAGAGGCAGGCCATCGGTGAGGGGGGGGCTGCCGTCGGCTCTCCGGAAGTGGTCAAGAGCCTCAGAGCTGGCGGCCTTAGCTAAGTGCAGTCCTGAGTCTCGCCCACGGTCCTCCGATTTCCTTGAGTGTCTCTTCTTTTTCTTCTTCTTCTTCCTGTGTCTGTGGAGGTCAGCGTCTGAGCATGCTGCCGAGAGATCCGAGTCCTGCTGGTGCCTGCGGGAGAATAAGCCAGAGCTCAAACCACCACCAAGCAGCCGCCTCGGAGAGAGCCGGGCTTGGCTTTTCCACCCACACGGTGGACACTCAGGATGCAAATGCAGGTAAAATTTTTGTCTGATTTAAAATGCATTGGAAGGATCTCTTAAAGTCCAGGCCATAAATAACCCACTGAAACCCCTCCCACCGCTGCCATTAGCTTTGCTCAGGCCCTAAGGCAGTGATGGCGAACCTTGTGAGCTCGGCGTGTCAGCATTTTGAAAAACCCTAACTTAACTCTGGTGCCGTGTCACATATAGAAATAATTTTTTGATATTTGCAACCATAGTAAAACAAAGACTTACATTTTTGATACTTATTTTATATATTTAAATGCCATTTAACAAAGAAAAATCAACCAAAAAAATGATTTCGCATGTCACCTCTGACACGCAGGTCATAGGTTCGCCCATCACTGCCCTAAGGTGTTCGGCCAAAATCCCAGAGGCAGGACCGACCGAGCTGCTTCTCCTGAACCTGGTGGCTGAGGGAGAAGCCCTCCTGCAGGTGCCAGCCACATGGGGTGCCGGCGAGCCCTTGCCCCCAGGAACCACTATTTACCAAGGGCTCATGGTATTGTTGTCCCAAGGCTGCAATTCTAAGGATGTCAAAGGTATACAGTATAAGATGTGTGAGTAATTCTGTTTGTGCTCACTCGTGTCATCACAGATAAGTCATTTCCAGGACACTCATTGGCCAATTTAGCTTTTTCAAAATACAAAAACATTTCCCAGTTAGATTTCAAATTGAGAAATGGAGACAGAGAAATAGACAAAAACAAAGGCAACAAAAGATGTGTCTAAGATCCCACTTAGGGCGGGAAGTGTCAATGCCACTGCGGCCTCCCGTTCTGTCACCTGGCAGCCAGGAGGTTGAAGGAAGTATGAACAGACATGACAATAAGTACATCCGACCAGGAAGGGTGCTAGCACCAACGGTGAAGGCAAAGCCCTTGAGCCTTCCTGTCCAGCACATCGCACGCTTACTCCTAAGGCGTAAGCATTCACATGGGGATATTTGAAAAATGAGGTTTGTTGGCATTTTATGATCCTGTAAGGTAAGATACAGCTTAAAAGCAGAGCTAAATTTTAGAAATCTGTAAAAATCATGAAATCTCAGAATCCACAGATGAGGAATACAAATCAGACCACCACGCCCCGCCCCACCTGTCGCTGAGCGGGTCGGAGACAGGGAGCCGAGGCCGGTGGCCCCACCACAGCCGAGCGCGGCCACGCCCTCACCTGGAGTCTCGCTCTCGGTGTTTGTCTTTGGATCTCTTTTTCTTCTTTGACTTTTTGTGCTTCTTCACTTTAGGTTCTTCTAAAGGGTCCCTCTGTGCGCTTCTCCAGGCTTTCTTTTCTACGTGGGTGTCACCATGTTCTATACTGTCGTACCTCCGTTTGTGTGACTTCACATTTTCGTGGTCGTGAAAGCGATCAGCGAGGTGACAGCTGCTGCCTTCAGGTGCAAGTGCAATCTTCTCGGCGGACTTCTCAGGGTGGGGCGGCAGGGCGTGGGGGGGGCCTGCCCGGGGGCCGCTCAAGTGGTGCCGTTCCCTCTCTTTGGCACCTAGCTCGTAGCCCTTCCTGCTTTTATAGTCCTTGTAGGGCCGGCCGCCGTACTGACCCACACGGTCATAGTCTCGGTCCCCGTGCAAAGGCCTCCACTCCCACGCCTCCCTGGCCGTGTACGGGGCGTACCTGTCGTGGTAATACCTGCATTTGTCCCACCTCGCTCTGTCCAGGTAGTACTTCTCCCGGCCCCAGGAATGCTCGCTTTCCGAGTGGTGGTACCTGCTCCAGTCGTGGTCGGACCCGCCCCTGCTCCGGGGGTGGTGGTGGCGGTGCCGGGCCAGGCCGCGGTGCTCGCAGGCGTGGTGCGGGCCCCCGCTGCAGTGCTCGGGCCGGCGCCCCTGCAGGGTGCGCTCGCGGGTGTAGGAGTGCCGCCGCCGCCGGTAGCGGTCCTCGGTCTGGCTCCTGCTGTCCCGCGCGTGCTCTCCGCTGGACGAGCGGTCCCTCCGGGTGCGATAGTGTCCTCGGTCCACCTTGCGGAGGCTGCTGATCTTCTCCTTCACCGGAGACCGGGCCTGGCCTTTCTGCCCAGCCTTGTTGTCTTCACGTGGCTCCCCGGGGCTCTGCTCGGGAGCCCCAACCCCTTCTGAATGGTTTTCCGTGACTTTGTCCAACTGAGAAGAGGGCGGCTCCTCTGTAGGCGCCCCCGAGGCTTTAGAAACGTCTTCCGCATCCGTGCACCGGTCTCGGCTGCTGTGGACGGAGGGCCCCTGCTCGCCGTCACCCTCGGGACACGCCGCGGGGCTCGGGCTCAGCCTCCCCGTGGTGTCCCCTGCTGCCGAGTCCGGGGGACTCTCTGCTAACGTCCCTGGTGTATCCTGGGATGCTCTGCTCTCCTCCCCTGTTCCATTCCCAGGGTCGCACAGTTCAGAGAGATGGTCGTCCCCAGCGGTGTTCTTGTTGGCGTTACAAAGGTGGTTGACACTGGGCACGGACTCCTCGGGTTTTGCTGAAATGCTCTCAGGGACTTGTTCTTTGGTAGATGTAGATTGGATGCCGGGGTCCGGGAGCGGCGAAGCCTTCTTCAGTTTGCTGCTAAGACCCCTGTCCGTCTCCAGTTCCTCCCGGGAGTCAGGAGTGGGGCTGCCGGGCTCCAGTCCTGCCTCAGGATGCTCTGTCTGGCTCCCGTCTGTTCCAGGTGCACTGCAGCCCGACCAAAACAAATAACAAATTAGTCATTCGCCAGACTGCTTTACAGGTTACTGTCATTGGCTCACAGGGACAAACACTTGTTCCAAACAGCCATTTACTAAGTATTTTATGCCTTTAACATATCCGGTTGAAACCCAATAGTGAACTTACCATTTTCTGAAACGTCAAATTGTCTTTCCCTCGTTAAGTAAAAATATGAAATGTTCTATCAAGCCCATCTCCTATCCATTCTCTAGCAACAACAATACTGAGGTTCTAGGCTGCTTCTGTTCCCAGGGAGACTCGCCTCCTTCACAACTAAGTCTGAACGTCCAACCGGTCAGATGACAGGGGAGGCTTGACTGTTCCTCTGGACCCCTTTCCACCCGACAGGGCCGAGCTGCTGCAATGACTCAGAATCGCTGAGGGATCGCTGGGCTTCGGGAAACGAGCTTTGCCCTTGGTCGCCGGGGAGCTTTCGATGGATGTGAGGCTAATGAAAGCTGCCAAGAGACCATCAGAACCCGACAGGGGCCCCACTTTTGGCAGGAAGGTGTCTGGGAGAGGGTAGACAGACGAGGCCACTACACGTTTTCTCGAGCGTGGCAGTGAGATTCTCAAGTCAGCACGTGGCGCAACACACCCGGTTACGCCCCATGCACGGCCTGGCTCACGCCCACGCACATACGTGTGGTCACTCCCATGCACATACGTGTGCGGACACGCCGAGCTAGACTAGGGAGGGAACAGAGGGACCTGTATGCCCGTGACCAAGTGCTCACGCTGCTCCATCTTCCCGGGAGCCCAGAGCTGGGCGTTTCCTGCCTCCAGGATTGACTCCATTCCACTCGGCTCAGCCAGCCTTCCCCGCAGTGGCCAGTGAGGCAGCACTGCCAGGACCATTGGGAAAATGGGGTGCATTTCTGGGTTGTCACAATGAAGGGGAGCCCCGCTGGCACTAGCAGGAAGGGGAGAGGCAGGCAGGCCCACGGAACAGGCGAGTGCCCTGTGACGGGCAGCTCCAGGGAAACGAGCTTTTCCAGGAACACAGCTAGTGGGTCTGAACGCCACTTAAGCTGCCCGCCACGAGGACTCATTTCCCTGGTGGTGGCTGCGTGTGGCGCGGGGCTCCGACCTCAGGCCGCACTGGAAGCTGTCACATCGCAGCAAACCCGGCCCGCTGCGTTGCTGCCTCGCGTAGTGCCGGCTCGCCTGGCTGCCACGTGCTGCAATACAACTGCTACACATTCCTTTCCTCCTACTCCCATTACATTTAGGTCAATATCCTGGTTTTTTTAAATGACAGTGTGGAAGCGGGACTACCTTTTCCATAAATGCGGTTTCAGAATTCTGGAGGGGGCAAGACCAAACATGTGCTACCGACAGCTGAGAACCACGGCCCTGTCCTGGGCGGAGGACGTGGGCGGGCTAGGTGCCCAGCAGCAGTGTGCTGACGACAGCCCTGAGGAGAAGACGCGCTAGCTGAGGGCAGCAAGCTTTCCTGGACTATCAGCTGATACATTTTTTCTTTACTTCTTACAAAAGCAAGTGAACAAATGCCATAGATCATTCAAGTCATCCCAGGAGTCAAGACATGCACAGAATTAAACCAGTGACAGGCCCAGACACCGCTGGGATTTCCTCCCGAGTTAGTTACCTTGTCTCATCCGTCGAGCCTTTCCCTTTGTTGCCGAGCTTGAAAGTCTCTAAGATTTTGTCTTCCGGGAGAGGTGGCAAAGGAGCGGGCATCAACTACAATAAAAAACAAAGATGCTCCAACTCTGGTCGCTACTCCCCACCTCCTGAAGTCTAGCCAGCGACCCGCCCACCCCACCCAACCCCACTCACCTTTCCAGGGAGACCATTTGCCTTAGAAAAGGGGTTTTCTGAGTGTAGGTCAGGCTGGACTTGGCAGCTGGCACCATCGAAGGACAGACCGTTCTCTTCCGGGTCACTGTCTGTACTGACACTAGCACCATTTAGAGTCACAGGTTCTCGAAACTCATGCTGAGAGGCCTCGTCAGCTTCAGCATCCAGAGCAGAAGAGTTCGAGCTCTCGACCGTGCCCAGACCGTTCTCCCTGCCGAGGCCCTTGGCCTCCTCGTCAGACTCTTCCGATGACTCGGCACCGTAGGGGACCAGGACGCTGGAGTTCAGCTTGGACTTGCCGTTCATCACTGGCTTGGAGCAGGACTCACTCGGGGCCATCGGCTTTGTGACTTTACTGGGAGCTGACGTGGTGGGGGCACTCGAGGTAGACTGTATTGCAGAAGAAGTGGTAATGGTAGAAGAGGGAACAGGCTTGGTAGGGTTCTCCAAACAATTGTTGTGAAGGTTAGGCTGAGACTGACCTTGGCGAACAGGTAACTTGTTGTGAATACTGATGGTGATTTTTTGTTTCTTGGGATGCTCCGGGATAACTGAGGCCCTGTTAACTGACCAGTTTTGAACAGAAGTTGAAGCGTTAACAGCACCAGCCCTGCTGACATTGGAATTTCCATTAGGACTGGACACGGAGCTGCTGGGCGTTTCTTTCAAGGGTCCGGTCCCATTCAAGTGCGGCGGGTTCTGGAAGCAAGAAGACCACAGCCCTGGTGAGCATTCCAGAGAGTCACAGGCAGAGAACCCACTCTGGCTACAGACCCTTCCCAGGGAGTCTTTTTCTAAATTATAAGCTTTACACACCTAGAAACACCCCCTCTCCTCACCCACTCCTACCTGCACAAACCTTTCACAGGTCATCGTTTTCTGATAATTAAGCAGCAAACAGAGACAACTATTTTTGCCCAGAAAACATGGCCCAGACCATACTCTTTCTGCTCCAATCGGGCAGAGTGAAGAGGCCCTTTAAGTAGTCTCATATGTTCTCCTTGGTTTTCTTGGGAGCCGAGCTGTACAAGCAGAAGGAAGTGCCAGCCAGCAGGGAACGGCTGTTGGCCATGGTAGCTAGGGAGCTGGTCACGTGGGCAGACAGAGAAGAGTGCCTTCAGGCACCACTGGCCCGCCCATCCCCTTCCCCAACAATATCTCTGAATCCCAGATTCCAACTACTGCTGCTATACCCCAGAGGCTGCAAACTGGAGGTCATGGGTGAAATCTCGTTCACAGATGAATTCTGTTTGGCCTTCACAATGTTTTCTTAAATATCTGAATTAGTTCCTATCATAACATTGAAAGGTTTCGTGGAGTGGGGGTGGCGGGGGGAGACTCTTGAAAAATCAGTAGTAGCCACCGCTCAGCACAGGGCATGTGCTCTCCTGATGTCACCCTCACGAAGAGTCCAATTCAGGAGCCCGCTGCCTGCCCAGCTCCCAGAGGCCTTAGAGGTGTAACTCCTGCCATAATCCACACACTGCCCCACGTCCACAGGACACAGCACACAACTGGATAATCTGCTGGTTCAAAACCAAAGGAACTCAAACTGAAAGGCTGTTAACACACTACAGCACAGAGGACAGGGATTATTCCAACATGTGGACAAGCCGTCGCGACCTCACATGGAAGTCTACCAAAAGATGGGCCTCTGTTCCACAAAGGGTCTCAAGGCCCAGGCCTGTCATCAGTTCTCCCCAAGAGGCCACCTGGAAGTGTGGCCACACCCAGCTGGACACAGAAAGCGCCACACTCATGAAAGGGCTGAGCAGACATAATGAAAGTGTCCTGTCGGTTCGGGGCCACTTGCCTGCAGTCCAGCATTAATAAGGGTCCCCAAGTATTTCATCAAGTGAATGGAAGTCCAGCGCGAGAGCTAAACTCTCTAGCGTTTAAATACCCTTATACCCGGGATCTGCTTCTTCACCATTACATCCACACTCTGTGAGGTGCTGTGCACTTGGAATATGTTATAATGAACCAGTGGCCCGGTGCACGGATTCATGCACATTGAAAGGAAATTAGAAGAAAGATTCATGTGGTAATTACGTTACTGCAAAAAATTACATGTCAAAATAGTACATATAATATAGTACTATAAAATTAAAACACACGTGCGATTGGCACCAGCGAGAGCTTTATATGTATCGTGCATGCGCCAGTCAACATTGATTTTTAAATGAGAGGCCCGGTGCACGAAATTCATACATGGGTGCGGTCCCTAGGCCTGGTCAGTGATCAAAGTGCGAGCGTCTGGCATGGAAGGGCAGGTCCCAGCTGATCTCTGGGCCCTGGGCCCCCCTCCACCTGAGTTACGGCGCCTGAGTCCCCACGCGGAGATGCAGTGAGCACGGCCAGATTCCGCAGGCCCGGGCGCAGCGTGGGCCTCTGGTCCGCCCAGCGATGCCACCCAGAAGCCAGGTGGGCAGCACACTCTCTCCTGGCCGGCCTCGCAGACTGGCTCCTACGCAAACCCACAGGGAGCCCGACCAGCCCCTGTGGTCCTGGCGTCTGCGGCCCGGCTCAACTGGAAGAGGCTGCCCTGGTACGGGGCAGCTCCTCACGGGCACCCAGCACCTGAGCATGGGGGCTTCCCCGGCACACAAGCCCTGGCGTCCCAGGGGAGGGTACTAGGGGGAGTAAAAGCGAGCTTTGCGGACACCCCACATTCTCACCGCACCTCTGTCCCCATCACCCCTGCCCCCAGGTAGCCAGCGAGAGGTTACAGCATGTCTCCGCCTGCCATGTTCCGTGCCACCCATTGGTGGTCAGCGCACATCATAGTGAGCTGTCAAACTCCCTGTCTCCTGGTTGAACCGCCCGAGGGGACAATTTGCATATTGGGCTTTTATTATATAGGATTGCCAGTACACATCATATGTACTGGCCTGTCAGTGAATAAATCGCGATATGGTTCATGTTGAATGTCAACAAAAACAACCAAATTCACAATCGACAATGACAGATCAAAACACATGCGTGTGATTTGCACCAGTGAAAGCTTTATATGTATCACACATGCACAAGTCAATGTTTATTTTTAAATTGCCAGTGCACATCATATGTACCGGCTGGTTGGTGGGACGTCAGACAGACGGATGGTCAGTCACTTAGCCTTTTATATAAATAGATGACTTGAATATACTATTTTGACAAGAAATTCACTTGCATATAAGGCTATGGCAATTACTGCAATGCTAGCCTGAAGGTTTGAATGATACATTTTTAAATTAACATAAAGGTTACATTCTCTCTATGGAACAGAGTTACCTTAATCATGTGAGAAGGAAGCTGTGGTCCGATGAACCCTGACGTGGCCTGTTTGTTATTGACGACACGCTGACTGATTACAGGTCGGGGAGAGGACTGGCCGGGGCTGTGGGCGGAATGAGTAAGTTCACCTCCATTTTTCACATCATGGGACCTGGAGACGGAGAGTGACATTGCTTAGGGTTACACAGGACATCTCCTTAGAAGAGATTCATTTATGACTCTCAGGTAACAGACCAACCTGCTGCAGCGAACAGAGCTACACATGGACTTTTAGGTCAAGGTCAATGTCAGATGCTCAGATTGGGAGACCACCAGGGTAATTGGGCAAATGGTACTTTTTAAAAAATATTTTTGATTTCAGAGAGGGAGAGGGAGAGAGATAGAAACATCAATATGAGAATCATTGATCAGCTGCCTCCTGCACGCCTCCTACTGGGTATTGAGCCCTCAACCAGGGCATGTGAATTGAATCGTGACCTCCTGGTTCATAGATCGATGCTCAAGCACTGTGCTGCATCTCACCCCTTAGAGCAGTGGTTCTCAACCTTCCTAACGCCGCGACCCTTTAATACAGCGCCTCATGTTGTGGTGACCCCCAACCATAACATTTTCGTTGCTACTTCATAACTGTAATTTTGCTACTGTTATGAATCATAATGTAAATATCTGATATGCAGGATGTATTTTCATTGTTACAAATTGAACATAATTAAAGCATAGTGATTAATCACAAAACAATATGTAATTATATATGTGTTTTCTGATGGTCTTAGTTGACCCCTGTGAAAGGGTCCTTCGACCCCCAAAGGGGTCACGACCCACAGGTCGAGAACCGCTGCCTTAGAGGCACCTGCTATTCAGATTTAAGAGAGTATCTTCTACACCAGCAGTCACCAACCGGTGGTCTGTGAGGTCCGAAAGGTTGGCGACCGCTGCTCTACACTTTAGCCTATACTGGTTTTTCAACAGTATAAAATTTCAAACTGCTTTTTCCGCCATATTTATTGAGTACATTCTCATGTCACTAAAAAAAAAAAAAAAAAAAAAAAAAAGGTTTCATACAAATCACTTTTAACAACTGCATATTTCAACATACGGATTTGCTGTAATTTATCTGATCATTCTACGACTGACCGGCTGTTACAAATGAACACCTTGAAGCACACCTCAGCTCTCCAAGGCCACGCCCGTCCAGCCATGGAATGAGCGAAGCAGTCTTCAGCAAGAGCAGGAGAGAAATGAGCAGAGGTGCTGGCGCCGCCCAGGCTGACCCAGGAAGGCAGCTGCCCGCCTGTGCTCAGTGGCTGCGAGGGGACCACACCCAGTGCTCTGAGCCCCTTCCCGAGGCCCCATAGCCCCAGGTCACCCAGTGTGACGCCAGAGCAGAAGCCTGCCCTCCTCAGCCATCGCCTTTCCCTTCCTCTGAATGTGTCTGCTTAACCTGCCAAACAGCTGGAAGCTAAAGCACACTCAGGACCCACCCGCAAATGCCCATCCTTACGCTCCCAAGCTTCAAGCCGCAGTTCTAAAAAGAACCCAGTAAGGATCCACATAAAGTGAATTTAAATATGTTGATGAGATGAACAGAAATAAAATAGCAGAAAACTTGAGAATCTGTTCTCCTGACAATACCTGATATAAAAGAGAACATACGCTTGTTGACTGAGTACCGATCTGATATCACTGGTAGATACGATGGAGTCATTCATCTGATACCAGAGACCATTGCTAGCCTGCAAGAGCCAATACAAGAGAGGTTCAATATGATTAGGGAAACGGGGAACACTGAGCCAGAGAAATGTAAGAAAAATGCAACTGCCCATTTTAACTGAGCCCCCAAGAAGACCAGTGCTCCCTTACCGTGTATTGTGATAAAAGCCATTAGCAAACCCACACGCTCACCTTTATGTAGCAGAAGTAATGGCCCGCGTGGCAGTTAAAACCAGTGTGTACCAGCACTGCATATAAAACATAAATAATCGGTTCTCCGTTTGGCTGAGACATGTATGGTCGAATATCAAGATATTCCGGATATTTTACATCCTAAACAGAAACGGGAGGAGGAAAAGGAGCATTGTTTCTGGAAGCACAGGTCATTCCACGTGTCTGGGTGAGGGGTGCGCAGGGGCGGCGTAGGGCAGGGTGCCTGCAGCTCACTATGCTATGATATTCTGGCAGAAGCCCAATTCATTGAGCCCCATTTCAAAAGACATGATGAACCTGGAACATATTTGAATCTAAGTGTGTTTAATGCAATCCCACTGTATTCTTTATTTTCTTTGAACAATTGAGGATCCATATTAAGTGAATTCTTCAAATTAATCAAAAGAGACAGTTATAGAATGACAATTCTGGGCTTTCATCATCACTTATTTTTATTTTTAATAATTCAGGAATGGATTATTTATTTCTTTTGCATGTCACTGACTTTTTTACCACTTTTAATCTTCAGAAAGTGGACAGGAAATGGGGAGATCAATGTATTACCAATCAGAAAACAGCCAACCAAGAAAACCAACTGGGAAGAGTGGCCAGACTCAGCAGCATTTCAAAGGACACACTCTCTCTACCTCACTGACTATGGAGTTCAACTCAGATAAGTTACCAATTTTATCATCAGAAAGCCTAACCAGCTATAGGATATAGAAACACACCCACCCTCATAAACACACAATACACTACTGGCTCAATGCTTTGACATTTCCCTCCCATTACCAAGTGCTGGAAGAATTTAGAAAATCAGGTAACAAAACTGTTCAGTTAGATTGTTTATAACCTGTAATAGCTAATGACACTGAGCCCTGAAAGGCTCAGCGTAAAGGTTACTAATGTCTACAAACCTTAGCAATTTTCCCGCCAGTAAAATTGGCAAAGCGTTTCAGAGAAAGTGTGAGAACATTGGAGGACCTGTGTATGGTGAATCTCTTCGAAGCTGGAACCATCTTTTTACATCTTGAAATAAACAGAAACAAATAATTAAGTATGTTTTTTGTATTTTAGCCTTTCCCTTGTTATTTCTCTAAACATTCTAAATTAAGTTTCCAAAGGGTACTAGATGAGAAAAACAACTCTTTCAACCAACAGTGAAAATACAAAACTTTAAAATACAGAGAAACTGCTTAATTAGCATGACAGGGACAGGAAGCTGGGATAATTCTGAGCTGATAGCCACACAGGTCACTGATATTCTCAAATTAAGTTAATACAAGTTTCTGTCAACTCACAACAAACTGAAAAACAAACAGATTTCCAGGCTGTATAATTCTGTGAAAACAAAGACCTATCAGATACAAAAGGAAGAAACCTAATGATTAGAAATGTCCATGGAGTTTAACACAGAGAAACCCCTGTGGCTCAGACAGAAGGGAGCCTTCTCCCCACAGAATGAGTATTTGATAAGAACAAGTATCACCTGACTCTAAAATGAAACTCTACTTAAACATACAACGCAAGGCTTTCTGAAAACAGGCACTCTTGACTTCAGGGGGAAACACAGTAAGAAATAATCAAAATTAAGAGGTTTCTAGTAGACACCACCAGCAATCCTGGTAAGAACCACAGAGAAGATCCAAGGAGAAGTGGCTGCCCTCTAGCCCACCCTTTCCAACAGAGCGGATGACAACACCGCTGCTGGGCTTACCTCTGCTCTCCCTGCACCCCCCCAGCAGTGAGACCCAGGTCTCCTATAGAGGACACGCCTTGGCCCTGGAGGACAGAGATGCAGTGTCTCCCCAGATGGCATCGGCAGCTAAGGGACCTTTCCCACCCGGGCAGCACCCTGTCGTACTTGCTGCACTTGTACGAGTTCTCGCCGTCCAGCTGCTCGGGCTTCACAAACTGCTCCAGCGCCTTGTTCACACTCTGAGCAGCCTGGGAAGAGAAGGCAGCACACGTTCCCTCTCACTGCTGTGAACCAAGAAGTCACTGGTTTGATTCCTGGTCAGGGCACAAGCCCGGACGTGGGCTCATTCCCCAGTAGGGGACGTGCAGAAGGCAGCCGATCCATGTTGTCTCTCTCTCTCCCTCTTCCTTTCTCTCTCAAATCAATTTTTTAAAAAGGAAATGTTCTTTTACTATGGCATTCGTTTTTATATGTGGACACATCAAGTTATTTCCCCTCCCATTAAAAATGATCAGATTAAAGTGAATAAAAATATGTGAAGAGGCTGCGGCTGAAGCATTCTTTAAAATAGTCTAAAGCCCTAACTGGTTTGGCTCAGTGGATAGAGCGTCGGCCTGCGGACTCTAGGGTCCCAGGTTCGATTCTGGTCAAGGGCATGTACCTTGGTTGCGGGTACATCCCCAGTAGGGAGTGTGCAAGAGGCAGCTGATCGATGTTTCTCTCTCATTGATGTTTCTAAGTCTCTATCCCTCTTCCTTCCTCTCGGTAAAAAATCAATAAAATATATTTTTTAAAAAATCAATAAAATAAAATAGTCTAAAAACGAAACAAACCAAGTATCTACCAGCTTGGAATCGGGCATGTGAACTGGTCTATCCACTCACTGGACCATCACATAAATGCCAAGCAGTTTGAAAGGAAAACACAAGTGGTCAGAGGTGAGGTGTGACCCCATTTGTAGAAACAGTAAGTAACACTCTGGGACAGTGTATATCAGTGACAGGAACAGCTCATTCTGCAGGATGGACCATATGTATCTGCAATATTTCTCATTTATCATAAACACATATTACATTCGAAATCAGAAAAAATAAAGCTTCAGAACAGCAAAAAAATGAGACTTTAGATCAGGCAGGAAGCAAAACAATTTCTAAATAATAACCACCATCTACTTTGGCTAATATAGTTATCAGGATCTGATTTTATTAAGATTTAAGTGAAACATCAAAAGGTAATAAAAAGATGAAGTGTTTTAAGATTATGATGCCGACTACAAAGTTCAAATAATCACCTGTACATAAGTCTTAGCATATTAAAATTTTAAATTCATGTTCTCTAACAAGTCAGTCTTAATTGTAAGTGAACTACAAATACATGAAGTTATGTCAAGTCTAACTGGTTTTTAAACTTCACTGTCACAACGATGATCCAGCTTACCTTGATCTCCAGTGTTATATCGAGATACGGGTCAAAAGTATCTGAAACGCCTTTGCAATTTAAACATTTGACTGAAATAAAAACAAAATGCAAAGATAAGCAGAGTGCAATCATTATGGCATCCCAACTGTTAAGATGACTGAACACAAAAATACTATTACAAATAAAAAATTAAAACAAGGTACAGTTTCTCCTATCAGATTGGGCAAAACATTTAATACTACACAGTGTGAATCTAAGTGCCATGAATTTGGCTCACACACACTGTTGGTTGGAATGTAAGCTGGTATAACCTCTTGGAAGGATGATATGGTGGTGTCAGATTACATACCAGCCTTTTATTAGAAATTCTAATGCTAAGAATTTAGCCTACATATACACTTTTACACGGACATAAAGGCAGGTGCACAAGGATATTCATGAGCATTGATGATCACTTAAAAATTAGAAGGGCCCTAACCGGTTTGGCTCAGAGGATAGAGCGCCCGCGGACTGAAGGGTCCCAGGTTTGATTCCAGTCAAGGGCATGTACCTGGGTTGCGGGCACATCCCCAGTAGGGGGTGTGCAGGAGGCAGCTGATCGATGTTTCTCTCTCATTGATGTTTCTAACTCTCTATTCCTTTCCCTTCCTCTCTGTGAAAAATCAATAAAATATATTTTTTAAAAAAATAAATACAAATTAGAAGTGACCTAAGTACTCCTCGATAGGGGACTAAAATAAATGGAAAACAACGCAACTGTGCAAGACAATGTTAGACCTATGTGTGCTGAAGTGTAAAAACACTTTTCAGTTAGGAGAAACTGAAAGGGACATACCTAACAGCTCCCAGTCTGCTCACGCACAGGAAGCCACTGGAAGGACACCAGAAGCTGGCGTGGGGCTGAGAAGGGGGATGGGAGTCTGGGCTGGATGGAGGACACACTTCCATTCTTAATCCTTTCTACAGTTGGCTTTTGTTAACCATATGCATGGATCATCTTATCAACTTTTTAAAAAATTCTCTTTATTCATTTACTTATTTATTAATTCTCTCCTGAGGATATGTTTTTTATTTACTTAAGAGAGAGGGAAGGGAGAGGGAGAGAGAGTGAAACATCAATGTGAGTCAGACACATAGATCGGTTGCCAATCAAGGATTGAATCTGCAATCTAGATATGTGCCGTGACTGGGACTCAAACCTGCGACCTTCCAATGCACGGAACGCCCAGGATGACACTCCAACCAACTGAGCCACACTGGCCAGGGCCACTTTAATAAAAGTTTTAAATGAAAGTTTACCTCTAGATCTCAGGTATCCTCCAAATATCTGACAAACGAGCGTGGTAGCCTGGGTGTGTCTGTCTAATCTGAAAAACAGTCGGACAGTGACGTGAGAGAAGATTCTACAGAAACTACATATGCTACATGAGATCTCAAAGCACACACATCTACAGAAGAGCAAGAATTCAGACGGATTAAGGAGACGTCAGTACTTACTTATTGCTGCCATTCAAGCACGCCTTTTGCATAGCATCAACAGTGTATTGAAGGAATTCATGGGCATCTTCTTGGTTTCCAAAACGGAAGTGCCTAGCTATACCTATGAAGTGTAAGACAAAGCTTTATCATCACCCAAGAGGCCCAGGCGGTAACCCCCAAAAGTTGTATCTTATAACAATACGTTAGAAAACACCTGATAATCATTATATGGGGAAACAGCACTAATACCAGCTATTCTGAGAAGAGTTAGACCATTAAAAGTCCACATGGACTAGAGTTTGAAAGCCCAGAGAGGAGGCACAGAGATGCTATCCATGGCTTTAGTGAGTTAATGAGGTTGTACTTGAATAAATTCAACTTTAGCTATATTGCCTCAAAATTTGTCCACAATGTTATGTCACTACACACATCTTAAATTTGATGCTAACCTCCCTAAGTCTGAGAATCCATGCAGAACACATCAATGTCAAAACCTATCTAAATTCTATCCTGATAACCATGTATGTGTGTGTGTGGGTGTGTGTATATGTACATTCATGGATGTAATACACACAAACACACAGAAATTACATTTTCTTAAAGATTTAGGTTGAAAAGTGTTAATCATGCCTTATATTTATTTATTTATTATATATATATATATTTTTTTTTAAATATATTTTATTGATTTTTTACAAAGAGGAAGGGAGAGGGATAGAGAGTTAGAAACATCGATGAGAGAGAAACATCGATCAGCTGCCTCCTGCACACCTCCCACTAGAGATGTGCCTGCAACCAAGGTACATGCCCCTGGCCGGAATCGAACCTGGGACCCTTCAGTCCGCAGGCCGACGCTCTTTTCACTGAGCCAAACCGGTCAGGGAAATATATATTTATTAATTAAACAACAACAAAATCATCCTCAGCTAAAATTTTGCCAGGATCCAATGATGTTTAAAAAATGTTTACATTGTAAATATTTGTAACTGTATGATTATCCACCCCTGTAATTATCTAGCTAGATATCACATTAAGAAAATTTTGTGCAATCTGTATCAGTACAATGCAAGAGAAAGATTTAAAAGTCATTTAAAAATCAAATAGAAAAATAAAATTTATCTACAAATTTGCTAAGGTAGGAGTATAAATCTTTCTTTAAAAGTGTAGTTTATTTTGGCAATTACTGTCACTCTGTATAGTGTAATCATTAACTGAATTAAAACTAATTCAAACCAATTTAAAGAAACATGTAGGACAATATTTACTCAGCATAAAAATCCAAATATCTAGGGGAAAAACTCATTGTAAAATTACCAATGATGTTATTAACAAATTGAGTTAAAATTTTTTTCATTTGTTTACATTAAACTGAATACTATTTTCTTTTTATATTGCTATCTTTTGCTTTAAGGTTTCAAAATCTGTTTATATAGTAAATGTCTGACTAAGAATGTTATTAAAGGCATCTACACATATGATAAAATATGTTTGCTTGTTTTTATAATAAACAGGCTCATCTTTTACCAGGTAGGCCATTAAGACTAATTAGCTAATAAATACTAATATAAACAACTATAGATGATACTTACGCCGCATCTCATTAATGACAAACATTGGTTTAATAACATCCCCAGGATTACTGAGTGCCTGGGTGATATGTGCTTGCATTGTACACATCATACAAAATCCTTCTGCATGACCTGAAAGATAACAGATAATAATCCTCCAAATTAGTAAAATATGACTCTACATACACATCAAGAGATACTACACTCCTGAAATGAAGTAATAGTAACAGCTATCATGTGTCATGCACTGAACCATATACTTTTGTTCACTGTCATTTAATTCTCCCAAAATCTAACTGGTAAGTATACACTGACTCTATTCTACAAGAGAGGAAACTGAAGTTCAGAGTTAAAAACTTGCCCAATGTCATGCCCCGGCTGGGTGGCTCAGTTGGGTGGAGCGTCGTCCCATACACCAAAAGGTTCCAGGTTCGATTCCCAGTCAGGGCACATACCCAGGTTTTGGGTTCGAGTCCTGGTCAGGGCACGTATGGGAGGAGACCAATCTATGTTTCTTTCTCACATCGATGTTTCTCTCTCTCTAAAAATCAATAAAAACATATACTTGGGTGAGGATTAAAAATAATTTTTCCCCATGTCAAAAAGTTATTAAGTGGCAGACACATAACAATCAAATCATACTCTAATGTCAAGGCCTGCATTAACTACTCTCTATGCTGGAAAAATGCTATTTTTCACACACTGCCATCTGTCTCACACAGGAAAAGAATGTCTCCCACACTGGGGATTGGAAATCTCTCTATAAATATTTGGCTTTTTTGGCCACATACAGTGGTCTCATTGCTGCTGCTGCTTTTTTCTTTCTACAACTTTTTATTTATTTATTTATTATTTTTTATTTTATTTCTTGATTTGCAGAGAGAGAGAGAGAGAGAGAGAGAGAGAGAGAGATTGATTTGTTGTTCCACTTATTTATGCATTCACTGGTTGATTTTTGTATGTGCCCAGACTGGGGATCGAACCCACAACCTTGGCATATTGGGATGATGCTCTAACCCAGTGGTCGCAAACTACGGCTCGTGAGCCACATGCGGCTCTTTGGCCCCTTGAGTGTGGCTCTTCCACATAATACCACGTGCGGGCGCGCATGTACAGTGCGACTGAAACTTTGTGGCCCATGCGCAGAAGTCGGTATTTTGTGGAAGAGCCACACTCAGGGAGCTAAAGAGCCGCATGTGACTCGCGAGCCACAGTCTGCCGACCCACTGCTCTAACCAACTGAGCTACCTGGCCAGGGCCTTACTTTATTTTTATTGATTTCAGAGAGAAAGGGAGAGGGAGAGAGAGATAGAAACATCAATGATGACAAAGAATCATTGATCGGCTGCCTCCTACACGCCCCCTACTGGGGATCGAGCCCTTCAGTCGGACGCTCTATTCACTGAGCCAAACCGGCTAGGGCTCTACAACTTTTTAAAGGCTGAAAACCACCCTTCGCTCATGACTATGTGGTGCTACTGGCATCTGTGGGGTAGAGGCCACAAGTGCTGCCGAGCATCCAGCAAAGCACAGGACAGCCCCTCAACAAGGAACTACCTGGTCCCAAACGCCACCAGTGTTGAGGTTGAGAAACACTTTCTTAAACTAAAGGCTGCTCAGAACCTGCCTAACAAAGCTTTAAAAGTCTCCAAAGGACCCAAACTATTTCCAATTACCATAACTGGGTCCCTGAACAAAGCTAAAAAATATTTATAGGAATATTTTTCCCTCTAGAAATAATATAATTTTAATAATCTAGCACCCAACCACATAAAATTCTAAAGTAGGAGTACAAGGCATGTAAAGAAGCAGGAATGACCAAGAACAAGAAATAAACATAAACAGACCCAGAAATGACACACAACAGAATCAAAGACCTTTAGAAAGACATTATACACATGTTTATATGTTCAAAGAGGCAGAGAAAAAGCAAAAGCATGTTAAGAACAGATGAGGAAACGGGCCCATTTGTACTTTACAACTGAAAGCAGAATTTCTGAGATGAAAAATACACCAGGTCGGATTAATAACAGATTAGACTGAGCAGTATAAATTACCCATAATGAAACACAGAAAAACAAAAACTCAAAATAACAGAAAACATAAGCATATCATTGAGCAGTGGGACTACATCAAGTTGTCCCTAATATGCATGTAAATAAAATTTTTCAAGAAATGACTGTCGCCCGTGGTTTGGCTCAGTGGATAGAGCATCGACCTATGGACTGAAGGGTCCCAGGTTCAATTCCGGTCAAGGGCACATGCCTGGGTTGCGGGCTCGATGCCTAGTGGGGGACATGCAGGAGGCAGCCGATCAATGCTCTCTCATCACTGATGTTTCTATCTCTCTTCCTCTCCCTTCCTCTCTAAAATTATAAAAATATATTTTAAAAAAAAGAAAAGAAAGAATGATTGTCTACAAAGGTACAACACAAGGGAGTTTTTACAGTGATAGAATGGTTTTGTGTCCTGACTTGAACTGGTGGTTACAAGAAACTATACCTGTGCTAGAATTCATAGAACTGTATGCCAAAAAATGTTGACTTTATGTTAAATATAAAAATTAAGTTTCAATAACTGAAAGTCATACAAATTTGAAACAGTACACCACAAATGTAAGAACCTCAACAAACCCTAAACAGAAAGAAACATGAAACCAACACAAAGAAACACTCAAATTGCTTAAAACAGTGATCAAAAAATTTTATTTTTTACCTTTTTATTTATTGACTAGAGCCTTGATGCACGAAATTCGTGCAAGAGTAGGCCTTCCTTCCCCTGGCTGCCAGCACCGGCCTCCCTCTGGCACCCGGGACCCGGGCTTCCCTCGCAGCCCTGGCTTTGTCCAGAAGGACCGTCTGGTCTAATTAGCATATTATGTTTTTATTATTATAGAATTTATAAAGAAAGTGGAAGGGGGAAGGAAACACTGATTTGTTGATCCACTTATTTATGCATTCACTGGTTGATTCTTTTTGTTGTTGTTAATCCTCACCTGAGAACATTTTTTCCATTAATTTTTAGAGAAAGTAGGAGGGAGGGAAAGGGGGGGGGAGGCGAAAGAGAAAAAGAAACATCCATGTGAGAGAGACACATCAACTCATTGGTTGCCTCCCACACACACACCCCAACCAGGGCTGGGGATCAAACCTGCAACCCAGGTATGTTGCCCTTGACCAGGAATAGAACCTGAGGCCCTGCAGTGTGCAGGCCAATGCTCTAACCACTAAGGAACACCAGCCAGGTCTATTGCTTCTTTTTTTTTTTGCTGCAAAAAGCTTTATTGTTTCATTTGGCCCAATGCATGGGAGGGGGCTCCAGGGTGGTTAAAAGAATGGCTAGTAGTTTCGAGAAGAGGCTCAGGTAAAAGCCAGAGACGCCAGGGGATGCAGAGGGGCCTCTGGGCTCCAAAGGCTCCAAGTTGTGCTGGAGGGTGAGCCTTTCCAAGAGACACTTGCCCAGCCCAGCCTGGGGGGCAGCCAGCCTGCGGATGTGAGTCAGGTGTCGCCCATCTTCTTGATCAGTTTCACCTCCTCATCCAGGAAGTGGTTCTCCAGAAAGTCACAGAGATGAGGGTCTGCGCCTGCAGCTCCAAAAGGGTGTGGGTCAGGGCAGCTCCCATGGCGTCCTGAGTTTGGCCGCCCCGCATCTTGGGAAGGTTTCTGCACGTCCTGGCAGAGAATGCTGCCGCCAAGCTTGTTTTGCAACTGTAAGAGATGCGCAGTGCCCCTCGCGCTTCTTCTCCGCCAACTCGCGGAAGAAGTGGCCGCCCTCCAGAGCCACATCTTCCTGGTGGAAACAGTAGCCCAGAGAGAGGTGGGTGTGGGAGGCCCCAGATGCAGGCTGGCCAGGCAGCTGACCGCAGCCTCCACCTCGGTGGAATAATTCTGACGAATGTGGGAGGTCATGGCTGCTTGGCAATAGGAGTGAAGGTAGGAAAAAACCGGTGTGTTGGCTGGTCCCGGAGGTGGTTCTGGGGTGGCGACTGGATGAGACGCAGGAGAGTGGCCGGAGGCTGGGAGAAGGGGCGTCCCTGGGTCTGTTCCGTCCAAACGCTGTGGAAGGAAGAGACGGATCCGGGACCTTGGAGGGCACTGCCGGTTGATTCTTGTATGAGTCATGTTTTTAAATCTACTTTCTTAATCTGGGCCTTTTGGGCATTTTTAGAATATTTATATTTAAGATGACTAGAAGTTAAGTCTGACAATTTATATTTTGCTTTTTGTTTGTTCTTTTTGTTTTTCATTTGTTTTCTTATCCCTGCCTTCCTGTGAGTTACTTGAATGTTTTAAATTACTGTAATGTGATTTATTTATGTTTTTTGAGTGCATCTAGAAATGAAGTACAATTTTCCTTAGTCACAGACCACCTGGCCATCTCTACATAAAATCTTAAGGAATCCTTTTTAAAACACTACTGGGATTAGCCCAGCAGCTGTGGCTCAGTGGCTGGGTGTCGACCTATGAACCTGGAGGTCACAGTTCCGTTCGAGTCTCGGGTGGGGCACATGCCCAGGTTGTGGCTTGATCCTCAGTGTGAGGCATGCAGGAGGCAGCTGATCAGTGATTCTCTATCATCACTGATATTTCCATCTCTCTCTACCTCTCTATGAAATCAATAAAAATATATTTGGACCAAAAAAAAAAGAGTGAAAGACATTTTAAAAAAAACAAAAATTAGGTGAGTTTAGCAAAACTGCAGTATATAAGATCAATATCCAAATATCAATTCCATTTCTATATTCAGCAATAATCAGAAACTGAAATTAAAAAAGTATTATCATTTATAATAACTTTCAAAAACTAAAATACTTTGGGATAAATCTGATTTAAAATGTGTACATTATATACAACATTGCTAAGAAAAATTAAAGATCACCTAAATAAATGGAGAGGCATACCTTGTTTGTGGGTCAGAAGACAATATTGTTTAGATGTCAATTTATCCCAAATTGATTTATAGCAAGCATGTCAAACACATGTGGCCCACAACAAATATTTTTGCGGCCCAGCCAATATAACGGTATGTAAGAAACATTTTAAAAAAAATTTCGTCACAATGTTTACAATATCCTGTTATACATAATTATTAATAATGAACTACAATGTTAGCCAGTGACTGATACTATAATTGTGTTGCATTCATTTCCTTTATGTGCCTGACGCCCAGGCGCACCATTTCTCTCCACTAATACCAGCAGTGAATATTTTAGCAGCCAACTGCCACGTCATTAGTCTTGTACGGACTTGTTTGCTGTGCTCAACAGGAAATATGTTGCTTTCAGAGAACAAGAAAAATAGGTTTATTTGTGTTACATTTATTAATCTGTGCAGTTATCCAGTGTCTGGTAACTTAATGTTCAAGAAAAAAATATTAATTTTTATTAAAATGTTCTATTATTTTATATTAACAATTACTTCTTTATTTCAGCCCTTTGTATTCAGCATGTCTCTATCAAAATCAACCTATGTTTGTATGAAAATTGAAGTGTTTTTTTTTTTGCGGCCCACATAAACTTAAACCTTGTTTATTTGGCCAGTGTTAGCCTTTGAGTTTGACATGCTTGATTTATACTAGTAGATTCAACACAACCCCAATCAAAATTCCAGAAAGCTTTTTTGGAGAAATTGACAAAGTGGTTCAAAAATTCATTTGGAAATGCAAAGAACCAAGCATGGCCAAAACAACTTTGAAAAAGAACAACAAAGTTGGAGAACTTACCTAATTTCAAAACTTAAATATACAGTAATCAAGACACTGTGTCATGGTGTCAAGATAAATAATGGATCAATGTAACAGAATAGCGAGTTCAGAAATAGTCATATGTATATGGTCAAGTGATTTTTGACAAAAGTAAAAAGACAAATCAGTAGAGAAAGGACTATATTTTGAACAAATAGTGCTGGAACAACTGGATATCCATATTGAAAAATATGAACTTCAAACCATTCTTTACATCATAAACAAAAATCAACTAAAAATGGATTAATTGTAAAACTATGAAACTTCTAAAAAAATATAGAGGAGCCCTAGCCGGTTTAGCTCAGTGGATAGAGTGTCAGCCTGCGGACTGAAGGGTCCCAGGTTTGATTCCAGTCAAGGGCACAGGCCTGGGTTGTGGGCTCGATCCCCAGTAGGGGGTGTGCAAGAGGCAGCCAATCAATGATTCTCTCTCATCATTGATGTTTCTCTCTCTCTCTCTCTCTCTCTCTCTTTCTTCCTCTCTGAAATCAATAAAAATATATTTACATAAAAAAGAAAATATAGAGGATATCTTTGTGACCTCTGGTTAAGCAGATTTCTTAATATAACACCTAAAGGATAACTGGGATGGAATTCTTCAAACCTAAACACATGCTCTTCTAAAGTCAGTGTGAAGAGAATACTTTTCTCCAGACTGAGAGATAATATTTTCAAATTACATATCTGATAATGAGCCTCTATCCAGGAACTATAAAGAACTCTCAAAATTCAACAATTAGAAAAGAATCCAATTTTAAATCAGGCAAAGGATATGAACAGGTGTTTCAGCAAAGCAAATATATGGATGGAAAATAACCATGTGGTAAGATGTTCAACATTATTCATTAGGAAAGTGCAAATTAAAGCTACGAGGAAGGTATTACTACACAACATACCTATTAGAATGGCAGAAATTGGAAAGGTCACGCCAAGTATTAGGCAAGGTACTGAGCAAAATGAAATTTTCATTCACTGCTGGTGGGAATGTAAAATACCACAATCCCTTTGGGAAACAGTCTGAAAGTATCTTAAAATTAAACACAGACATACTATAGGACCAAGCCATTCCATTCCTGGATATTTATCCAAGAGAAATGAAAACATGTCCTATGAAGACTTGTTTACAATGTTCATAGCAGCTTAACCTATGATGGCCCAAAATGGGAATAACCCAAATGTCCATCAATAGTGAATGAAGAAACACACTGTGGTACATCCATACAGCGGAATACTACTTAGCAATAAATGCTAATTACTGATACATGCAACATGAACTAATGTAGAACTAACTGTGCTGAGTGAAAGAGACCAGGAAACACGAGAACATACGCTGTACATAACTCCACTTCTATGACACTCTAGAAAATACAATCTAATCTCTAGTAGACAGGAAACACATCAGGTGGTTGCCTGGGATGGAAGGGATGAGAGGTAGGAAAAGGCAAAAGGGAGTGACTTCAAAGGAGCAATGGGAAACTTTGGGGGGTGATGAAAAGGTGCATCATCTTTTTAAATATATTTTTATTGACTTCAGAGAGGAAGGGAGAGGGAGAGAGAAACATCAATGGTGAGAGAGAATCACTGACTGGTTGCCTCCTGCACGCCCCACACTGGGGAATCAATCCCGCATATGCCCTGACTGAGAATCAAACTATGACCTCCTGGTTCAACCTCTGAGCCACACCGGCTAGGTGCATTATTTTAATTGTGGTGATAGTTCCATGGGTATATACAAATGTCAAATGCACCAAACTGTATATTTTAAATATGTGCACTTTATTATATATCAATTATCTTCTATAATAATAAAAGGGTAATATGCTAACTAGACCGGATGTCATTCAGGACATCCTTCTTAACGAAGCCAGGGCTGGGGGGAAGCCAGCCTGGGTCCCGGGTGCCTGCCGGCAGCTGGAGGAGGGAAGCCCAGGTCCCGGGTGCTGGAGGGAAGCCGGTACACCAGCAGCCAGGGGAAGGAAGGCCTGCTCTTGCACGAATTTTCGTGCATCAGGCCTCTAGTACCTCAACAAAGCAGGGCAAACAGAGAGAAGAGAGAAAACCATCAATAGCATAAAAAACAGGCAGCACCTATTCTGGACACCAGGAGCTTCTGAATTTTTGTCTTGGCGTCTCTCTTGATGTCCAGGTGCCAGGGCTAGGTTTTCCCCCACACCCCTTTCATTAAGCACAAAGTGATAGGGAAGCCCTCTGTGGGGAATGAATTGTGGACTTAGAAAGGGAGAAAATGCGGGCAAGTAGAACGTTCATTCGGTAATTTAAAACCCTTTGGCATAACAAACAACTCTAGGCAGTGAGGCTCTAGGTGATTTTCCTTTGGTTTATTTAAATTTTCTGTACTTTCCAAATTCTTTAGAAGCATTATTTTGCTCTTTGGGGGGAGAGGGGGGGGGACAATTTTAAAAGAACCAGTTCAAATTCTCCATTGAGAACTATTCAAAAAGAAACCAAGGGGCTTTTCTCACACTGATAATTGATGAACAGCCACCTGAACATACACAAATCTAAGCTTAATGTAGATCAAAGAACGGGGAGACTTCATTTACAAAGGCTGAAGGATATTTACAATATGTATAAAAGGTCAAAACCTCAAAACAATGGGTATGTTCCAAATTCTGAATTTTGCTAGTCAACCACTGAGTTGGCTTTCACCAAATTAAGGACCATCGTATGTTTTAACTGATTTCCTACCCTTTAGGCTGAAACCCGAGGTCTCTCATGCTGAAGGGAAAGTCCTGAATGAGTTTCCGGGAGGCTGGGGCAGTGATGAGAGGTTTCTTGCCCCTGAGGCTGGAAGCCTATACGTGAATCAAGCCTACAACACAGGATGGACACCAGCAGAGGCAGGATTTGAATCCTGCTTGGTGGCAGACATTTATGCCACATTTTTAGCCAAATGCTGATAAAATATGTTTCTTTTATTTTTTATTTATTTTTTTAAAAATATATTTTATTGATTTTTTTTTTTTTTTTTTTTTTTTTTTTTTTTTTTACAGAGAGGAAGGGAGAGGGATAGAGTTAGAAACAACGATGAGAGAGAAACATCGATCAGCTGCCTCTTGCACACTCCCCACTGGGGATGTGCCCACAACCAAGGTACATGCCCTTGACCGGAATCGAACCTGCGACCCTTGAGTCCGCAGGCCGATGCTCTATCCACTGAGCAAAACCGGCCAGGGCAAAATATGTTTCTTTTAAAATAACTTCACAGGTCAAATTAGGTGCAAAATGCTTCTTATACAATCTGAATACAAATCTTACAGTCTTCCTGCATGGTTTCTAAAAGAATAAACCAACTGCTTAGTGATCATAGAATTCTTGGCTTAATTCCTTTCATTTCAGAGAAAAAATGAAAATAGGTTAGATACCACAACAAAACCCATGTAACATAAAACAAGACTTACATGTCTTGGAGTGTTCATGCGATAGCATGTAATTGGCAAGAGGTGGCGTGTATGTTAAGCACTGCAATGCTGCATTGGCAAAGCAAGTATTGCCCAAATTCTGGAGCCCAGCTCCAACTCTATGAGTTTGTTGCCACTTAAGACAAATCTTCTCAGATGGGAAAAGAACTTTTTGCGGAGGAGCAATGCCATCACCTAGGGCTAGAAAAATAAAGAACAAACATTTAATAACAAAGCTCCACATGCTTTTGAAGCTAAATAAATAGCAATATATCAAACCTGAACCTGATGAAGATTCTAAATCTTTTTACCAGCTAACCAGGAACACAGAGGAGAAAGGCAGAACTCAGAATGTGGGAAACTCTAAATGATTTGGTCTCTTCAATAAAAATATATACTAGTAAAAAAAAAAATGCTCTAACTGGTTTGGCTCAGTGGATAGTATCAGCCTGTGGACTGCAGGGTCCCTGATTTGATTCCGGTCAAGGGCACATGCCTTGGTTGTGGGCTCGATCCCCAGTTGGGGGCGTGTAGGAGGCAGGCGATCAATGATTCTTGTAATTGATGTTTCTCTCTCTCTCTCTCTCCCCCTTGTTTTCTGAAATCAATAAAAAATATATTTAAAAGCAAATAAACAAACACCACCCAGCATTTTTAAAAACATCTTTAAATGTTTAAAAGACAGACATTTACTTAGAGAACTATAGTTAATGAAAAGTTAATGAAATGCTTGTCCATTTCAATTCTCACCAAAATAAAGTTTATCCTTCAACAAATTAGAAATTTAAAAACTACAAATAACATCCGGCCAGTGTGGCTCAGTGGTTGCTCAACCCGTGAACCAAGAGGTCACTGGTGCGATTCCCAGGCAGGGCACATGCCTGGACTGGGGGCTTGATCCCCAGTAGGGGGCGTGCAGGAGGCAGCCAACTGATGATGTTTCTTTCATCAATGTTTCTCTATCTCTCTATCCCTTTCGCTTCCTCTCTCTGTAAAAACCAATGAAAACATATTTTTAAAAAATAAAATAAAAAACTACAAATGTCATAGTAATTAAAAATAATCTCCCTTGTTATGATATGTGTGTTAATCATAAATAAGCAGCAGAGGAAAATGAAGCCCATCATAATGTAACTGGCTGGCCACTCAGGCAGCAATATATCGTGCAAAATAAGAAGCCCTCTGGGGGGGATAAAATGGACACATATGTAATACCCTTTGTAATACTTTAAGCAATAAATAAAAAAATCAAAAAAATCAAAAAAAAAAGAAGAAGCCCTCTGAAACTACCAACCCATTGACAGCACTGACACCGGAGTTTCTTGGAGTATAGTACCTTGATCCTTCTGTGGTGATGGTTTTGACTTATCAGGTACAGATGAACTTGAATACACTACAGCACCAGGCACTGGTCCTAAGGAAAGCGTGTGATTTGAAACCTCATTTAAGGAAGACACAGCACCCCAGCCGGCAGACCCTGCATCCATGTCTCCAGGTGAGACTGCCTCGGAGCTGCCAGGCTGGTTCTGAGAGGTTGAAGGGCCCGAAGATTCAGAAGCTTTGTCAACTATGGTCATTGTTCAGCTCTGCAAAAGACAAGCACACATTTCTTTCAGAAGATTAGGAAAGTAACCTACTGATTCTACCAGTAGATCTCGGAAAGTTAGTCTAGCAATTTTTGAGTATCTTCAAATATAAAAGTAACAGTATTTTTCACTTTGTAATCATTTCCTCAGGACATTTAGTATTGTCTACTCCGCAACAATTGTCTACATAGCAACAATTTTTAATTCTAAAACTTTCAATGGGCCTACTAGCCAGTTTGGCTCAGTCGTCGGCCTGTGGACTAAAGGGTCCTGGGTTCGATTCCGGTCACGGGCACATGCCTGGTTGCAGACTTGATCCCCAGTGGGGAGCGTGCAGGAGGCAGCCGATCAATGATTCTCTTCATCACTGATGTTTCTATCTCTCTCTTCCTCTCCTTTCCTCTCTGAAATCAATAAAGATACATTTTTTAAAAAACTTCAATGAAATATTTGATTACATCTTATCATTCTATTCCATGCCTCTTAAAATTATTTCAGTTTATAATCAGGTACCTCAATTTCCAATTCTCTACATTTACCCAGTACCTATATTCTTTCTTTCCATTGCTTAGAACTAGAATGTGAAATGCACTAATGCATGCGACTCAATTTTCAATCTGTATATGATTCTCCAGGGAAAAGTCTCAACTACACAGAGAGAAAATCTAGCTTTAATGTTGAGCATAAAGTCCAAAAGACACTGTTTGAAATACACTGCATTTTTAAAGTATAGGAAGTCTCACCTCTGAAGCACATTTTTCTGAAGGGACTCATTTATTTGGTATATATGACTTGTACAAGGAAGCCCAATATAATTACGCACTTTTATACTTTTTATACAGTAACTTATTTAATTTTCATAATGGGCCTATGAGACATTGGACAGAAATCACAGGATCTATAAAATGCACCAACTACAACCCAAACTAGTCAGCAACTGGGAGTAGGGACCAGGTCCAACATTCCTGACTGGGGTTCCTTCTGGCTATACTAACCTGTCAATAGACTACTTTCAAGAATGTTTCCGAAACTGCCAGGTAGCAACCAAATCTGGTATGCCACTGCTCAGTGGGTAACCTTTCAGGTGTGCCCTGACTGCCCCTAGCACAACATCCTCCTAGCACCTAGCCTGGGCACTGCCTGGCCTAAGGACTTCTGCACACACACCCTCAGGTCCATTCCCACCTATTCTCTCTGGGCTCTGCACATGCTGTTCCTTTTACCTCTCTTCTCCATCCTTCCACCTCCAGCCAGTTAACACTTCCACTACTCAGAATTCATTTCCTCTGGGACACTTTCCTTGACAACCTCCTCCCCCAAGAGCTGGGTTAAAACCCCTCCTCCAGGCTCCCCAGCACCCTGCGCTGATTTATACAGCAGCCCTGCAGCACCTACTGCACAGCAAGTTCACATGCTGCTCTCCGTCAAGTCCTCACTGGTACCCCCTGGCCTGACACACAGAAAGCTTTCCATGCAGGCGTTGAACAAATGAATGAATTCTGGAGACAGAAAATAACCCGTGTTTGCTTTAGCACCAGTTCGTGCTGAGTGATTCACATACAGTATCTCATTTAATCCTTTAAAAACTACGAAGTTGGAATAGCCTTTAAAACTTGTTTTAAAAATATTCAATACAGTAAATGGATAATAAATACCCACGTACATGCCACCTCAACAAATGTTACAATGCACTATGTGCTCATAAGAAGTTTTTATTTTAAGCCTCAAATTTGTGTTATCATTTTAAATGAAGGCATGATTACTTCTCCCCCAAAAGTATAACCATAAAAAACTTTTTGGGCTCTTACATAAAAACAGAAGATGTTATTTAGATCTAATAAAATAAAAACTGAACTGGTTTTTAAGTCAATTTTAAGTCAATCTCAGATACTGAGAAAAAGGGAAAAAACAAACAAAAGGGAAAAAGAAAGAAAAATAAGGTACTGGACCTTCATTCAGGAAGAAAACTTGAGCTATATTATCCAAAACAAATTCACATTTTTCTCATCGAAGAGTCCAAAGAAATTATGAAACAGTGTGGAGACAAGAGTAAGAAAACAAAAGAGGAAGAGGAAGGGAAGGAGGAGGTAAAGAAAGAAAGCAAAACAGCAATAAAGGAAGGCTTACTTACAATGCAGTTAAACAGCAAAAGCCTTGGTTTTCCCTGGACAGACATCCTTTCAGGACAATCATTAACAAATGACCAAGTAAAACCATTCTACTGGCTCAAATGCCTTTTTGGAGGGGAGGGAGGGGTTCTTATATGGGGGGGGGGGGGAGTGAAGGAATGCATACCAGTCGGTCGTCAGTAACCATACAGCATTATACTTTTGGGAAAACAAACCAGAACCATCCATTCGTTTCCATTTGTCCATTCCGCCGATGAATTCTCACCCTAAAACCATGAGGCATCCAACTAATCCCACCGGCCCAGAGAGAAACCCTTTCTGGTCTCCCAGCACCGCTGCGCGGGCCCCGGGATGCCGCCCTTCCAGGTGCCATGCGTTCAGCAAAGCTTCCCAGCATCAGTCACAACCCTCCCGACATTCAAGCAACTACTTCAGTGAAGAGTTACCACTTCTCTCAGCAAGTCCTGGTGATACACAAGAAGTTACAAACGCCGCAAGCGCTACAAGAATCAGGCTGGATGTGTGTGGAGGAATGAGACAAACCGACTTCACCAGTGTTTCCTCTCTTTTATTCAAAAGCCTTAAAATTCTCAGTCTCTTGTATGGTATTTCCTCCTCAGTATTTCTACCAAATGCCAGAATGCATTATCCTTTTTTTTTTTTTTACTTTTAATATGTCTAAACATTAAGGTCCCCCACATACACTGAGGCAATGCCAATGCATGCAAAGAGAAACTGTTACACTCCGCTGCTTCACACACAATGTAACCCGCATTCCTGCACAGGCGCTGGAAGGCACAGCCTTGACTTCAGTTGTCTTTTAAGACAGCAAAGCAACTGAGCCTTAAACCTTCACAAAACAGGGCAGACCCGGTTCAATGACATAGAAAAGAAAGTGAAACTGACTATGCCCATGCCCAGTGCGCTCTGAATGAACGTCAAGAGAACAGTTTAACATGTACAGCTCTTAAAAAAAAAAAAAGAAAAACTCAGTCCCCACAAAAAGGTCTGAGGATATCGCTGTTACCTTGAAAAAAAGAGGCGGTAACTAGTTTTCCCAGCAGCTCTGCGGTGAGTTTAGTGTTCTCGCGTTTAAACAATCAGCGTGTTCTGCAGGAACACGCCAGCCCGGGGCCTTGCTAGCTGTGCGGGAGCGAGGCAACCAAGTCCTCCCAGCTGCACGCACACCAGCAGGTTCAAGTCCTGCGGCCCGAAACTTCGGTCCCGGCCCGGCCCGGCCCGTTTCCACCCCGAACACCTGCCTCTGACCGCCCCCTCCTCCCCCGGCCCCGCGGGGCAAGCGGCTCTCCCCGTCCCGCCCCGGAGATAAAGGACTCGACCCAGAGGAACGCGCCGGGGGGGACGCGCCGCCGGGCCGCCCCCTCCCCGGAGGCACCGCTCCGCTCAGCCCGGCGGCCGGCGCGGGCAGCTCGGACACTCGGCGGAGGAGCCGGGGGGACGGCCCCGCGAGGGCGGCCCGCCGAGGGGCGCCGGGTGGGAAAGTTTGCATCTTTGGGGTGGAATGGGGGCGGGGAGGCGAGTCCCGGGCTCCGAGGGGCGCTCGGGGGCGGGAGGCGGCAGCCACGCGGGGGGCGGCAGGCGGCCGGGGGACGCCCGGCTCCGCGGCCGGCACACGCCCACCCCGCGCAAACCCATGCGGGCCAGGCCGCCCCGGAGACGCCCGCCGGCCCCGGCCCCCGGGCCGAGGGGGCGGACGGGGGCCGGGTGGGGGTGGGAGGGCAGTGTCCATGGCAACCAGGGGGTCCGGCCTCCCGGCGCCGCCCGGCTCTCGGGGCGCCCCGCCGCCGTAGCCGCCGCCCCCTCCCCAGCGGCCTGGCTCGGCCGGCGGTGGCGGCGCGGTCACCGGCGCGGCGGGGTCCCGGGCGGCCCGCGGCGGCGGAGGGGGCGGCGGGCGAGGGGCCGCGCCAGCCCCCGGCGGGCCGCGCCGGCAGCCGGGCGGCCGGGCCAGCCGCGGCCGAGGCGGGCGGAGCGCTCCGCGGGCCCGACGCTGGCCGGCGGCGGGCGGGAAGGAGGCGGGAGCTTACCTGACCCGGCTCGGCGCTCGCTCCATCCCCCTCGGCCGCCGCCGCCGCCGCCGCACACAGCCCAGCCGCCCGGCGGGGGACAATGACGTGCCTCCATCCGGGCACCGCCGCCGCCGCCTCCGGGTCAGCGCCGCGCCCGCCGCGCCCCGCCGGGCCGCCAGGGGGCGCGCCGAGGCTGGTCCGCACGCGCCGCCGCCCAGGGGCCGTCGCGCAAGAGGCGCGGCGCGCAGTTAACGGGCCGGCGAGCGCGGGAGGGGCCGGCGCCGGGGCGCCCCGGGCGCAGGCGGGCGCGCGTCACTGCCGCGCCGGGCGCCGCGAGGAGCGCGCTGATTGGCGGGCCGCGGCCGCGCGAGGTCCTCCCCGGGGCAGGCCCGGGACACCCCCTCCGTGTCTGCGCCCGGGGCCGATCCGCGCGGGTGCACGCTGCGCGGGCTGTGCGGGCTGCCAAACGGCCGCGGCTCCGGGCACGCCTCCTACGTGCGCTCCTCCGCCCGGACGGCGGCCACGCCGGAACCCAGCAGTGCGCCCGCGGCCGCAGACCAACCGGTTACGGGAAGCGGAGGGTACGGTACCTGAGTCCGCAGCAAGGCCGGGCTCTTACCGGCACGGGTTCCTCGTCTCGGGTCCGAGCATCCCGCGGTCTTTGGGGGCAACGAAACCAGCGCGACTCCCGAGCGCCAGGTCCCTCCTACTGATCGGAGGCCTCCAGCGCGAGCCCCGCGGAGGACGCGGTGGTGCATCCTCGCATCTCCTCCGCCACCACCTTGCTCCTCCCTGTGGGTCCCTGCTTGCGTTAGGGACGTGGCACTCACCTCCCTAACCTGGGGCCCTCTCCCGCCCTCTCACAGGCCTCACCCTTATCGCCCAGTCACACCTGCCCAGGGGCTGCGATCCGACCTCCTCCCCCCAGGCGACCTTCCTGCCCGCCCGTCCCCACGTTCTCTCCGAGCTTCTTTCTGGTCTCTCCCTCCCTTGCAACCTTCTGACCGCGGGACGATCGTTCGGGGCAGAGGAGGCTCGGGGCTCAGAGCCACAAAAAAATCTAAAATTCCTTCGCCTGCCAGGGAAGCCTCCAGTTGCAGACTTTTCCCTACAAACACGCCATTCCGACATTGGCTAATCAGCGGTTCTCAACCTGTGGGTCGCGACCCTTTCACAGGGTCGCCTAAGACCATTCTGCCTATCAGATATTTACATGACGGTTCATAGCAGTAGCAACATCACAGTTATGAAGTAGCAACGAAAATAATTGTATGGTTGGGTCACAACATGAGGAACTGTATTTAAAGGGCCAGAAGGTTGAGAACCAAGCCTTATAGACCTCCTACCTTGGGCCCCTCCCACAAAACCCCGCTTGAGTCCCGCCCATCACAGTCTTACTACAGATTGCACGAGGCTTTCATGGTAGCCCTTACTTCACTGTGATTGTGGAAAGGGATCGCTAAGGTGATAACATATCAGTTGTGTGTTTGCAGCAGAACACTGACATTTTCCGAGGAGACAAAAAAGGACAAGGTGGGATTCAAACATCCCAGATTCAGTGCCCACGTTCAAAGTTAACAGCACAACTTACCTTCTGATGAGTAACAGTTACGGGACTTCACCCTCATGGCCCTTTCAACACTGTTAAGAGACTTGTAAGACCCTGGCCCTGTCCTCAGGCCAGAGGGTCCCGGGTTCAAGTCCCAGGTTCAATTCCCGTGTGACGGAGAGGCAAGGAATGGATGTCTCTCTCTCATGTTGATGTTGAGAGAGAGAGAGAGATTTATAAGAACAGGCCAGCCATAGGGATGGACTCAGTAATTTGCTTGCCTTTTCCAAATGACTTTCAGATGATTAAATACATTATGAGAAGGAATCAAGGGGCCAAATCCTTAATATTCACCTGAGCTTTGTGGTATTTTAAAATGCTTCCTTTCTAATGCTTCACATTTAAAAAGTTTGGCTTCTAGCCCTAGCTCGTTTGGCTCAGTGGAGAGAGCGTCGGCCTGCGGACCCAAGGGTCCTAGGTTCAAATCTGGTCAAGGGCACATGCCTGGGTTGCGGCTCGGTCCAACGTGCAGGAGGCAGCCAATGAATGATTCCCTCTCATCATTGATGTTTCTATCTCTCTCTTCCTGTCCCTCTCTGAAGTAAATAAAAATTAAGAAGTTTGCCTTCTAATTTCATTTTCCATTCTATTGAAAAACTGCGCCTGCAACCAGTGTTTTCAAACAGTGCCTGAGCGACCTGGGTAGGAAAAGGGATTTTTTTTTTTTTTTAAAGAAACACCCCTTAGCATTCTCCACCCAGAACAGGTTCTCGGAGGGGGGACTGCACAGCCCCCTCCACCTTCCTCTGTGCCTTGAAAGCAAACAGGCCTTTTTCCTCTAAAGCAGGGTGGGGTAGGGGGAGGGATGGGGAACCTTTTTTCCTGCCAAGGGCCACTGGGATATTTATAACATCATTTGGGGGCCAGACAAAATTACCAACTTAAAAATGAGCCTGCAGTATTTGGTCAAACATTTAATTACCTCCCCCCTAATTACCTTGTCAGGGCCAGGCCAAACGATTGTGAGGGCTTTATGCAGCCCGCAGGCCAGACGTCCCCCACCCCGGCTCTAAAGCCTTTCAGTGCCACTTACGACAGCAAAGTGACAGCAGGAAGGGGTATCAGGAAGCCCCTGCCTTCCAGCAGCGGTGCCTTTGGCTGAGATGCAGAAACTCCTTTTGCTCCGACAAGAGCTGAATCCCAAGTGAACGCTGTTGGGAAAGATTTCACTTCACTTCTAACAAGCCTGTGACCTCCAGCAATTCCTTAGCCAGTGGTCTTTACCACACTTGTCTCTGTGCCTGGAGCACTGCAGCCTCCTAATCTGGGTAATTACATGATCAAAGAGCCAAAGGTGTTACAGGGGGAGTAATTGGATTCTCTGGGGACCTGCAGGCACTTAGGAAGCCTTAGGCCTGGTGTTGCCCTAATCAGACCCCCATGGCTGACACGCCCTTTCCCCTCCCAGCTGCTCTGCCTGTTACCTGCGGACTCACAGCTGCCCCCTCCTCCTGGCACCTGTCCTTGGCCGCAGGGGAGCTGCTCTGTGGGAAGATTAGGCGCCCCCCTCCCGCTCACAGCCTATAGCAATGGCTCGCTGACCCGGGTTCAGAAAGGCCTGGCCTCAGCTTGTGACCAGTCTTGGGCAGCAGTTCATGCTCCAGTGGGACCAGAACGCAGCTCCTCTCCCACTGAGGCTCCTGCCTTGCTCACGCCTCTCCCTGACCTCTCCCTTCATACTCTCCCCAGAGAGCTCGCTCAATGCGGCACGGCCACCTGAGTTCCGTCTCAAAGCCTGCCACCAGGCGGCCCCGCTTAAGACAGTTACCAGTAATGGTCTGAAGAAGCAGAGTCCAAGGAGAGGGTCTGGGTGACAGGTGGGACGCCGGTAGCTGCGTGACGGTGCAAGGCTCCCACCCGGGGGGACGGGGATGGGATACAGGAGAAGGGCATACGCTGCCATATTCGATCGCATGTTTGAGGACGTGGGGGAAATAGTAACTAAAAGAAGCGTGGAACCAGGCGGCCACGGATGCTTTCACGAGGGGAAGTAACAGGCCCTGGGCAATCCGTCATCAACAGGAAGCAAAGCGTAGAGGCCCGGGCCTCCTGGGCAGCCTGCAGTGTGAGGGCCCGCAGGCCTAAAGGCAGCCTCAGGTTCCTTTCAAAGGAGAACTTCAGAAACGGTGACTCCTCGGCCAGGGCCCATCACCTACACCGAAATCAGGGTCTGATAAAGAAGAGGTGGAACCCGGAGACTGACGATGGGCCTCCAACCACAAGAGAACTCCACACTCCTCAGAACTACCTGGGCCTGCTGAAGGGGCCCCTCCCCCCGAAACTGGAGGTCTGTGCAGAAGCCACACGTGAGCCATACAAGACAATGCCTTCTTCAGGCTCTGCCCCAGAATCCTCCTGGCCACCAGACCGTTCTCTAAGGTTAGGGCTCGGTCCGGCCTGACGGCAGTGTTGGGCCTGCCTCGGGAGGCGTTGCGCGTTGGAGGAGCCGCGGGACCTGGCTAACAGAGACCTGCAGGGCTGTAAATACGGCTGAAAATGGGTCCCAAAGGGACTAAACCAAGGGGGAGGAATTACGGAGAGTTTGCCAATATGGCAACAGCCCCATCACATAGGCCGGACACTGCGTCAAGGGCCAGTGTGGGCTGCTTCAGGTGCTCGGCACGGGCGGCACTCGGCTAGAGGAAGGGTCACATGGACTAAAGCTGAGACGCCATGGCTTCCGGTGGAGGGAGGGACCACTCGGCTCAGGGAAGGGCACCTGCTGGAACAGACGCTAGCAGCCGACTCTACTGCCTGAGAAGGCCCGGAGGGCACGGTTTGCCAAGGCCATGGGCGTTGGGCGTGCTTGCAGCTCTGTTGAGCACGTCGGTGGTGGCTGCCATCTGTAGGCCCCAGGCCTGAGGACAGGGGCGCTGTTACAGAACAGGGCTCTCTAGGGACAAGGGGTGGAGGACGGGAGGCTGGCGGGACAGAGGCTGGGGGCCGGCACTTATCAGACGCGAGCTGGGCGTGATTGCTGTCGTGGGCGGCAGGGTCCGAACGGCAGAGAGGGGCAGCTGACTTGCAGAGACCCATGGAGATGGCTGACCGAACATGGGCCAAGATAGACGGGCGGTCACCAAAGGCACAATGCATATAATCAAGTGACATGCAGGCAGACTTGTCGCATCTGGGCGTGCAGGAGACTGAGGCCAGCTGTCCCATGGGAGAGTCAGTCTCCTGCCCAGCTTCCTTCCCTGAGACAGTTCTCAGACCAAACACCCAGTCAGCAAGAGACCAGGCCCACAGCAAGGGTATACAGTAGTGATTCCTCAAATCCTGTCCCAAAGAGAGCTCTGGCCATTTAATTGACTCAGTAACCATATACCGGCTATTTCCCGGTTATTGGATACAAAGTCCAAGTGAATGCAGATGGATGGGACCTAAAGGGCCCACAGGGATCCCCTTTCGCTAAGGGAGTGTGGAGTGGCCCGGAATGAAGCCCTGCTCAGAGAGGACAGGATGCAGGGCTGTGGTCTCCATCACGTGCCCATTTAACTCACCAGCCTGACCACTGCCGACAGTGGGTGGATCCTGGCAATGGGCCTCTGCACACTCAACGATCAGGAACCATCTAGCACCGGCGGCTCAATCCCACCACTACCCACTCCTCCCGCTGGAGTTCTACACCCGAGAGAGAATGGAATCGTGCTTAGAATGTCTTCGCCCTCGCTCTGAGCCCTTCTGGGCAAACATAAGCCACGCCTCTTACCTCTCATAGATTTTACTCGTAATCACTGTGAACAAAGAAGAAATAACATAAACACCCCCTCCCCCCTAAAAAAATGGATAGTCACAAAGCACATTCAAAAAACGTGCCTACCATAAGAAAAAAGAAGGAAGAGGAGGAGGAGGAGGAGGAGGAGGAGGAGAAAGAAGGGGGGAAGGAAAAAGAATACCTACCTTTCACTATGAGAGTGTCCAGGTGAAACCATCAATAGACCTGTCCCCGCGGCCTGGGCTGAGACGCAGTCATTACAGCGTGCTGTTTAGAGACAGACGGACTCGGTATAAATACAGCTCCAGCTTGTGTTTAGTAGGGGTCCTTTGGGCCTTTCTTTGGACGCGCATGAAATGAAAGGCTTGCTTAACGTATCAAAGCCAACCTTATCCTGATAGATAATGCACACCCCTTCCCACCAACCCAACATAAAGCAGTAAAGCCGAGAGTCTTCAAGGAAGGACAGGTTTGAGTTT